CTTCTGGTGTGGCTGCTAGCTCATCCCCCAGCGGCGCTGCCATGGTAACATAAGAACCTACTGCTCTGTTAAAGCTTTGTGTTTAACTAATGCTAACTAACACCCTGTTTGTTCCACATATTTTTAGACAAAACCATCCACAGGCTCTCTGAAGAGAAAATCTGAGAGTGATGCTCCAAATGAGATATCAGAAACATCAGATTGTGCCCCATTGAAAGACTCTGCTCCTCCTTTATCTCCTGCCCCCTCAAAGGACTCAGGTAGCTCTCTTTGAGCATTTTAAATATAACCTAAAATAATTGACAAGCGAGTTTACACCCACTCATTCAACTTTTTATTTTCAGCTCCTTCTGTAGATGCCTCGTTCTCCTCTCCCCCCACCCTGTCCTTACCTCTGCCCTTGTCCAGAGTCGGCCACGGAGACAAGCTTCCTCAAGCTGTGGTCAAACCTCAAGTTCTCACTCATCTCATTGAGGGCTTTGTTATTCAAGAGGGAGCCGAGCCATTCCCTGTAAGTTCATCCCACCACTAAACTGAAAAAACATCTGATAATATTAATCAGGATGAAAGGTATGGGTTTCAACTCACATAGGGGTGGGTATTGGCAAAGAAGTCATGATGCGATTCTATAACGATGCATCATGATACTTGAAATATTGCAATGCATTGCGATATTTTCACTGAACACTGTAAGAAAAGGATACAGCCCTTACCAGTGGCTGATTGGCTGGGTATGATCTGGATAGTGTCTTCAATTGATACATAACTGAAAGCAACTGAATTCATACATAGCTGTATTTATTGAAACGACTTTTGGAGGTGTTGCCATGAAAACAAATACTGGACAGAAATATTACTATTACTGGACACACTGACAAAAAGATCTTAGGATTCATCAAACTTAAAATAACAAAATAAGGATAATCAGTGCTGTTTACATGGCCTCAGTGGTCCTTTAAACCAATGAAATTAAAACATTAAAATGTATATTTCCCCTTTTGCAAATTACGTGCGCCATATCAATTTAATTATTACCTTCTTTGTTTTTAAAGCCTAAATGCATCCAAGCATCTGACTTGAAATGTGATGAAGCTGCGGGGCGAATTTTCATAGTGTCCTCCATGTTTTATTTCATATGACTCGTCGCAGTATCCCTGCTTGTGACACAAGGCAGCAGGCGTCAACACATCCGCAGCGACATCTGCTGGACTGGAAGTTGTATTCCACTTGGTTTGGCTGATGTGCGCCAACCATTAATGTATTTTATTTGTTCATTTTTTTTTTTTTTATAATCGATTCTTGCCTTCAAGAATCGATGCAGTAGATCACAAAAATTAGAATCGCGATGCATCGTCATGACGATTATTTTGCACACCCTTAACTCAAATATGGTTTTACCATTTTTATTTTCCTGCCCGTACATGCATTTGAAACAAAAAATGAAATTCTTCCTAATTAATAAAAAACAAACATAAATCAATTCTTCTCTGTAGCCTACATTGGTAATTTTAAAATAATGCCATATTTTACAGATGAAGATGTAGATCGTCTTTCCTCTGCTTCAATTTAATTGGATTGTTATGCATTTCATTCCTTCCTTGCGTCCTTTTTACTTTCATTCCCTCCTCATGTACTACCTTCTTTCCTTTTATTCTTACCCCTTTTCCTTCACCCTTCTTGTTTTACATCTTTCCTTTTTTGTACCATGCTCTCTTTTCCAATCTTGGTGTCAGACGATCATTGTAAAACTCTGTTCTTTGTGTTTGAAGACAAATATACAGAACTAAAAACTCTGAAAGGTTGAGTCTCAAATACTTAAACCCCTGGAAATAGCTTTCTTGTTAACTTTTCTTTGCTCTGGCAGGTTGCTGGACTCCTCAAAGACAGAGATTTTGCTCTGGTTGGCCGCACAGAGCATGGCCCTCCATGTAAGTAAAGATGCATTTGTTTACACAGGTTCCTTCTTTGTCGTTTGGTGATCTGAAAGTTTTGTTTGTTTATTACAGTGTTGAAATGTGAGTACTGTGGATGCTTTGCACCAGCCAGCCAGTTCAGAGGATCAAAGAGGTTCTGTTCAAACACTTGCGCTAAAAGGTACAGTTTCATCATTCATGAAGACGGATCATTATTGTTACACAGCATTGCAAAACTAATTCACAATTTGTAACCTTACCAGCCACGAATCCAGAGTAATTTTATGGGATGTTACACACTAGCAAAAACATGCATAATCGGAAGTAAAAACTATTTGATTAAAGCTAGTGCTTTTGGTCTGTGTTTTATTCATTTGCTGTTACATGATGTGATCTAAATGTGTCTTAGCTCAGAGCGGTCAAAGGAACCAGTTACCGACTGACCCTCTCAACTTTTAGGTACAATGTAAGCTGCAGCCAGCACTACAAGTCCAGCAGAGGGAGAAATGGTGGGGCGGCGTCACTACCTTCTAACACCACAGAGAGCTCTGCTAAACGCAGAGGTCCTTCTCGAAGAGGAAGCTCCAATAGCACCTACAGTAAAGTATCGAGCAAGCATCTTTCTGTCAAGGTGAGATCTGTTGTTTTAAAGAAAGAGGTCTTTCTTGTCTGTTTGGTCCTCTTCAGTATTTAGCTCTTATTGCTGACTAAAAATATGCACATTGTGTTAGTGCTGCAATTCCACACAGATCAGGAATGATACGAATTACTAAGAAATACAAGATTTTTGGATTTGTGTGAAGTTTGAAAATGACTGGGTTTCATTTATGATCCCCCCAAAAAATCCGTTATGACACAGGTAAGATAGATAAAGATAAATTGTGAGGTGTTGCTTCTTATTTACACAAATATTTTAATGTTTTTAGGAAAATTTACAAGAATCTAAGAAGAATACTGCAGGAACCCCAGGAAATCAGTGAACAATATGGAGATGATTCCTGGAATCATGATTACATTTGAATAAAATCATACTTTTGATAGTTTTCCATTACAATAAGATAAAACAGCCTTTAGCCAAGCTTCAGTTGTTTAACTTAGAGCAGCTGTAGTTTTGTCTCTCGAACTGGATCATCAACATGAATTCTTCACTGAGTTAAAGACTACCTTTGAAAAAATTTTTACTTTTTGGCAGTTCATATTATTCATGTTCTGTGTAAAATAATGGCTTAAAGAAGGCCAGGACTCGAGGATTACTATGATTCCCAGAAGTGCTGCTAAAACCTCATTGTTTTCTCTGGCTTCTGTTCATTTTCTGTTGGATCACTGACAGAAAAGTCTTAAAATTTTAAACTTAAAAAACCTCTGAACATTTCACATATCGAGGCAAATTCTATTTCAGTGTTTAGTTGCTTTTTGACCCTCTGATGTCTCCTTTGCAGTGTCATTCAGAGTCCAGTCGCTCAGACGATATGTCCAGCGAGGGGGAGGAAGACAGGGATGAGTCCTCCTCGCTGTCGAGAAGCTCCTCGCGCTCCTGCCTCAGAGCTCAGCACAGCGCTCCCCCCTCAGACAGTTCCCCACCTGGAAGCCTTCCTATCGAAGGTGCTAACTTCCTCTCTGCCACTCCGGCTCAGTGGAGCGTGGAAGAAGTCTGCAAGTTCATCTCCTCTCTTCAAGGTAGGCTGGCAGAAAACAATTTTGGCTTTGATTATTTAAACACGTTCAGGTCCTCTGTTCTGAAATGTCTCCTTTGCTTCCTGTGCGGTTTAGGCTGCGAGGATCTGGCTGCCCAGTTTCTGTCCCAGGAAATAGACGGGCAGGCACTCATGCTGCTGCGGGAGGATCATCTAATCTCTACTATGAACATTAAGCTGGGTCCGGCTCTAAAGATATGTGCCTCTATCAACAGTTTGCGCGAGTGATGAATGTGCTCTACTATCTCATGTCTCATAGGAATTAACACTTGGACTTGAGCTTCTTGGAGATTGTCTGGGTGTATTTTTGTTTTTGTTTTTACACAAACAAATGTCCCCTATTAATATGAAAGTGCTTTTTGATCACATGACCCTTTGAATCCAGCCCCTGCTATTTGCTGTTCCAGCTTCAGGGTAGGAGGGTTCTTAACAACCATTGGGTAACATAAAGGGATGTGACTGATTTAGTGAAAAAGTAGCAATGATTGGCTGAGCCAATGACATTTTGATCTCAGTACTTCCTAAAACCCTTGCAGAACTTTTTCCATATTTTATCCCATTGCAGCTTCCTTTTCCTCCAGACATCTTGCTCTGTCTCTCAGCTAAAATCTTAATAGAAAAAAATTGGACAAGATGTGAGAAAATGTGATGACTTTTCTCCAAGGCTCTAAATGTTACATGGATATAGACAGTATTCTTTCTGGACTCTGAATGTGCAGACGTATACATACTGGTATGTGTATCACAAACCCAAATATTCCTGTCGTTAGTGTTTGTCTTTTTCAGAAAATAGATATACTGTTTATAGACTTTTCCAAAACTGCAAAACTCACAAGGTCTTCCTGCTTAATAATGTCACCTTCTGGTCACAGAAAACCAGTGGAACAGTATTTCTAAAGGGTGCTTCCGGTTTCAGGTTCTCATAGTTACATTTCTATATGTTGTTTTGTTCTTATGTTTTTGTCATAGATGTCAAACTCAGGCTTCAATCACACCTCGATGACACTCAACAAGCCTGTTGTTTTAGTAGTTTCTTTAGAATAGTTATGAAGAGTTTTAGTTTTCTATTTTCTCATTTTTATAGTACAATCAAAGTTATTTTTTCATGGAAACAATATAGTTGTAGAAGCTTTAATAAATTACCCAAAAAAAAGGTACCTCTTATGCTCGGCTCTCTTAAGGGCTAAATAGAAGTACTCTCTGTAAATGTATGCAGTACATATCAATAAACATTACAGAATACTGAAGCTGGGTATGTGATTTATTGCTCACAGGTTAATTTCAGCCTCTCGTATTTTCATTCACATTTGAGTATGACCAATTCTGCTTAAGTAAACATGAATAAAGATATTATTAGTTACAGTGAGAGATCCTTTGCTTTTTTTACCCTTATACTTGTTAAATCATATTGGCCCATTAAAAAAAAAAGAATCACAAACCGTTTCTGATCTCATCATGGACAGGTTCAGGTTATTAGAAAGATGCACCAAACTCAGGCTCACAATATCTCTTTCTTGTTCAACAGAATCCCCCCTTTGTTTCCAATGTGACCCTTAAAAAGTTAAATAACTGAGAAAGAAACAGAATAATTTTACCAACAATTATAAAAATCCCTCTTAAACGTACAATAGAATTCCAGTTTTTCCAGAAGGAATCCAAAGGATAACTTAATTCATTTTGTCAAGCTGAACGTGTTCAGAGTTTGTAACACTTCAGTTGTAACTTAGAGTTTCTTATAAAAGTGCTACATTAAGCTTGGAGATAGTAGTGCAAATACATCTGTTTTTCTTCTTTTGGCATTTCACCCTGGAGGGGATCAGAAAACAGTGTAGCTGTTAGTCTCTCCATATCCAGCTTCCTGCAGGTACTGTTCCAGGTTAACCGTCCCAGAGGCTTTGAGGGCTTTATCCGAAGCACTCTTTTCTCCTGAAACAAGCTTTCGGCTCACCTCCGCCAGCGAGGGCCGATCCTGATCTTTCCACTGGCAGCAACTTTTAATGAGTGCATACCTGAGAAAAGAAGCAGAGGTTTTGGTGAAATTCTGCACAAAATTAACAACTTAAAGGGGGGCTATTTATTAATCTGTAGCATGTTGAGGACACTTACAGTGAATTGGAACAGGTTGAGGGTTTTTTCAGGTTTTTTCCTCTCTGATGAAACTGCAGAAGCTCATTAATTGAGATTTCTGCAAATGGAGCTTCCCCTGGATGACAAAAATATATATTTATTAAAAAACGAGTAAAGAGGATTCAGATGTAACCTTAATATGAATTCTGATTCTCAACAATCAAAGTAAAAAGTGTTAAGCTTAGAAAGCTCAAGAGCAACTTTTCTGTAATTTTTCCATTTGTTTGGAACTGCTTTAAACCACATTACAAACTGCATCATCAACAAGTCATACCAAAGTGGAAAGTAAACAGGTCAGCGTTATCCTAGCACATAATTAAACTGCTCTGCATGAAAACATAAAAGGAGAGAACAGTCTGAGAGTAGGACAACATATCGGTTCTGTGGCTTTCAACAAAAAGTAAATATAGCTAAGAGAGTTAGCATTAATGTTACACATTAAAATAGATAATATATAGTTTATTTTAAGTGTTGCAATATCAACCACTATTCTCATCATATTCCTAAACAAATTGCATTTATTTATTTTCAAATTCTATATTTCCAAAGTTACCCAGTATGTGGCGAGACATTTCTATTATGCAGGTTTTCTATTGATTTCATGCATGTGCAGTCAGTAAGAGGCTGGTGACCCCTGACTGCTGATAAGAGAACAATTTGGTATGTTTTTTACAGACCTTTCCAAGAGGTGCGTCTTATCTGGTTTCAGAATTAAAATAAGTTACTGAATTTTGATGGGTTCGGCTCAGCAGGAGGGCCTAAGCTGTGTGAGGTTCAATCATTCAATCATCTGTCTAAGAACTAACCACATTTTTTCATTGTTGTGAAAAACATAAGGTGTCCAGCCTCTGCTAGATTTTTCTTCAGAGTAATTTATACTTGGGAAAACATATCTATATTCATCAGCTACCACAAGAGGGTGCTAATGTTGTAGTGTTCTGAAATCATTGTGGACTCACCTAGTGATGCCATTTCAAACAGCAAGATCCCAAACGACCAACTATATGAGCAAACAGAGCCAAGAAGGATTGTGGTTAGCTTTAAAGACATGTGATCAACCAAAAGAAATTAATAAAAAAACTTGCAATTTAAATACAAAATCCTCAATTTTAAACTGAGTCTTCTTTTTGCTTATTAGATTAAGATTTTATAGTAATGGGAATTCTATAAACTCAAACTGTTGACTCATTGAACATGAACATCTCTGAAATGAGAGAAACTAGATTTGTATTACATCATGTTCATTGTTTCAAAACAAAACCAAACTGACATGTCACTGCTCTTAGTTGCTGGCTTCCTGACCAGCAGCTCGGGCGCCTGCCACTTCTTCATGCTGGGATCGTCCCTCTGAGTGGCTTTCTTGTTCTTCCGTGTGTAAACTCCATGAAGGCCCCAGAGCTTGGCTGTGAGCTGCTTAGAGACCAGAACGCTGCTGGCCCGGATGTTTCCATGGAGGAGGTCTTTGCTGTGGAGGAACTCCTAACAATGCAGCAAAACAAGAATTTCAGGATTAAACGAGCCAACCCCATTAAAAGAGAAACAAATAATCTAATAAGTTTAGTTAATATGGAGAGCATATGAGTCAATAATAAAATGTAATAATATCTCAAACAATTCTTTTGTTTCTTTAAGGTATGATGGCTATAAAAAAGGATTATCATAAAATTGTGTACATAAAATATATCTGATTTAAGTTACCGGTAAACATGTGCTTGAAAAAAATGTATTAAGATTATTGTACAAACCAGAGCAGAAGCGACCTGGTTGGCCATAGTAAATATTCTCCTCTCAGTCATTTCACACGGAGGATCCACGTTGTCCTGGAAGGCAAAGGAGATAACAGAGTGTTTCCTGAGGTTTCAGGTTTAAACAGAAACACTGCTTTTCATCCTGTCTAGCCGATTTTATACAACACGGTTAGAAAATAAATATCTTTAGGAGACCATGCATTGAATATCTTCAACCACACTTTTTGAGCTAATTATAACTCCCCTTATTATGCAAAACACATTAGATTACTGCCAGATCTTTATAATAAAAAGTCACTTAAAGGTATAGTGGAGGATCTTCGCTACCCTCTCAACTTAAAAAAGAAATGCACAACCCTGTATCGCTCCCGATAGGGAACGCCTATTCAACGAGAGCATGCACGAGCCCATTTCTGCTCGTGCACGCTCTGTTTAAAAATTGCTGTTTGCATCACTCAAACAAGCTTACTTTCCAAAAGAAGATTTGCAATTATTCCACTATTTCAAACTCACCACCGGTACGTGAAAATAGGAACGACGACGTAGGACGGCCTTACATAAACATATCGCCGGAATGATTGACAATTAGGAGGACCACTTATTTTGATGATCCACCCAGAAGAAGAACATCCTTCGCTATACCTTTAAACAGAACCAGTCTGGCAACAGACATTGTTAGTTTATTAACGTCGATTCAATATCAGTTAACAGATTTGTACATTGGTAATGTATTTGGTTGCTACAGCAAATTTTCACATGGATAAAAGCAAAATCCTTCACTACAAACAATATGAGGAGGTTCAGTCTGTTTTCTGGTTTTATTTGTGCACACCAAGATAACCGGTTAAAGGGCTGTGTTGTCATGCACTAGGAAAAAAAGGGCAAGTTGAAGAATATCTCTAGTTTTACTTGCAGAACTATCTGAAATGTATACTGAATGATGTCTATAAAGCTGTATTGGACTTTATCCTATATGAAAAAGTTACACCACCATTGTTTATTAGCTATTTTACTTATTTGATAATGACACAAAAGCATGGGTGGGGAAAGGCCTTTGGCTCAAGTTTACTCAGCGCATGGTGGTGGAGTCGGGTCAAGGTCGGATTACTTCCACACCAAGTACAAATAACTATTGAACATGTTTAGAACCACACCAAGATCACTTCCTCCAAATCATCTTGGTCTGGTCGTTTCAGTCAGTAGCACTGCATTTGCTGTGCTCACATCTTCACAAACAAATCACACTAAGCAGGGAGGAAAATCAAATCAGTTTAGTTTTTAAACAACCTGAACTGTGAAAACACCCATGGGGTTACAAACCCATTTCTTAGGCTTTAGGACTCCAACAAACTATAGAGGGAGCCAAGATCCTGATATTGATAAAACATGGTGATACTTTACATAATTACTCCAAGAGAGCATCAACAAGTCATCCAGGAGGTTAGAAAACCAAAACAATTCCCAAAGCTCTGCAGACCAGAGAAGCTACCTTGGTTCAGGATGACTTGCCAATATTTTTAGTGCTGTGAGTTCTGCTCTCTGTCAGAAACTTCTGGAGGACAATGTCCATATTCCATTTTGTAATCTTAAACTCCATTAGAGGCAGGTTATACAGGAGGACGGTGAGATAAAGCAAGTCCCCAATGAATAGCTAAAAAAAAATAATACATTCCACCACTGTCACCTGAAACACTCATAATATTTATCGTCCATGCTTGAAGACATTTGTTGCCAAACAGGATGGCAAAACCAATTAATAGGTTTACGTTGGGATTATCATTTTTCCCCCCTTTGATAACTGAAAGTATCATTTGAAAAAGGATTATTTGGTTATGTTTGCCATAAACTAATTATCTGAAACATTTAAGTATGAGTGAATAATGTCAAACCTATCATATTTGAGCCAGCACTGGGAAATGGAAATGGATTCTTGTACTGGAATTTTCAGAACATTATTCAAAAGGTCACAGGTCAAAATTTTCAATGGAAAATACATTTATTATTGTGGTGAGAGGACCTTTCATTTAAGAAAAGGTCATTCTATAGATTATTAGAAAGAATGTCCTTATTTACTGAGAAGAATCTTTCAAACTTCAAATAATAAGCCAATATAAAGAGAAAAGTTTGAGCTACAAATAACATAGTTTTTTTCTTTAGGATAAAAAAATGTAGCACTTAGGTTTGCAAAAAAGTTATATATATTCAGTGTTGATTGTCATGTGACAACAGCTTTCTATTTGCCAATCATTAAAAAATACAGATTAGTAAAAATAATCAGCATGAGATTTTTTTTTTAAAGCTGTTTTCAATTTATGTTCTTATTTAAATTAAATTGTTGCTTTTATACTTAGTTTTAAAATTTCTTCTTAAAATTTAAACAACCATTATTCCATAAATATTTTCCTATGGGGTGCAATGGTTGGTTGGTTATCGCAGGGGAACCGTTTTGATGTAGACACCAATAAAGTTTAGGTATCATATGATACGGAATAACAAGTCTAAAACTTTAAGATTTAGTGATTTGGAAAGTAAACTTCTTAGACACATTTTTTTTTAATTTGGACAATTTAAAAAAATGTGACATAAATCTATATTTTCCCCTTACACACACAAAAACAACAACAAAAAAGAAATAAAAACTGAAGAATAATCTTAAGAGGGTTAAATGCATTTTCACACCATTAGAGCTTAATATCTGGGAAATGCTTTGTAAGAAAACTTAATAACGCCCTACCTGTCTGCATCGCCACAAGTAGCTGAGCAGGTCCCTGTTTTCAAGCTCCTCCACCACTGTGACCAGGGGGGCTCGGATTGAGACCACCCCCAGCAGCTCTGGCAGGAATGGATGTGGTCCAAGCTGTGCCAGGAAAGATGCAAAGCCCAGGAAGTTGTGTCTCTCCACAGCATCAGCTGAATCTGTAGAGGAAAGATTCCTTAAAGTCATGTCTATAAATGATTTTTCCCAGACCTGTATTTAGTAACAAAAATTCCCCTCAGTTTCTCACCTTTGAGGACACGGAGAACCACATTCCTGTTTTCCATGCGCGCTCTGTAGAGAGACACAGAGGGGTCGGCGTGCATGGAGAAGGAGCCCTGCAGAGGGGTGACCAGGTTAAAGGACTCTGGCAGCCTCTGGCGGGGCAGCTCCCTTGGCTGGGCGATGGGAGTGAAACTGGTCTTGATGGGGTCTGGTAGGGGGTTGGTTGGGAGAGAGGGTGGGCTCACAGACAGATTTTGAGATTGGTATGTTTTTGGGGGTTGAAAGGTGGAGTAGGAGGTGGGCAAATCCAAGGCGATGCTTTCGTGCTCAAGGACGTTGATACCAGGTGGAGCTTAAAACAGTGAGGGGAGCATAGATACAATCAGTTTGAGGAATTAACATATAAATTAGTAAAAGACAACAAAGGCTTACATATGGGAGAGCAGTAGAGTCCTTCACGGTATTATTACTATACATTCACACAATTATACTTTACATATACACATATATCCAATATGTTTATATATACTTTATAGTCAACATATGTGCTATATATCCTAAGTTCATATTTTCTAGTAAACTAAAATATAATTTTAGACTAAATTGGCCCACTTTGAAGCTTATTTTACTTGTAAATAACATCAATGTCTACTTATTCTTTATAAGATTATTCTTTGATGTTTATTGAAATTAACCCTTTAGTTTACTGAATAATATACTTTTGCTTTAAAGTCATAATCTTTGTATGCCTTAAATCTAAATTGGGTATAATTCAGTGTACCTTTATATGGTAAAACTTTATTACATGCATGTTAACTAAAAGTTTACCTCGAAATTAAACTTAAAGTTGCCCAATTTGGTCCCAAGAGGTTTGATTCTTAATAAACTTCCAGTACACTGGGTAACCTTGGGATATATATTTTTGTACAGTTGAGTATACTTGAAAATATGAACTTAAAGTATGTCAAATATATAAATAAATAAGAATTTCTTAAAATTGGAGTGTTTCTCATTAATTTAAGCAAGTAAATAAGATAACCTGCTAATAAAACGAGCACTTATTCCCTTAAATAATAAAATTACATATATACCACACTTTAAGTAAAATAATAGAATTAGTTTGTTTTGTTATTTTAAATGTAAATATTCTCATTGCATTGGCAAAACGTCATATTTGCTCAAATCAAGGGAAAATACAACTGAGATTACATTTTTTTCTTGCAGTGTAGGTAAAATAAATCTTATGAAGTATATCACTGACAGCTATACTGCAAGTAAACTGAAAATATACTTGCTTATTTGCATTTAAAATAGGTACACTTCAAGTACACTATTTTTTGGTAAGGTGAATGTACAATAAAGATACTTTGAAGGATATTATCACTCTACATCATTGCATGACAAGCTTTGATGCTATCCCCCACATAGTTGTCATTTTTTTTTGTTCCGCTTACCATCAATGCCTTGCAATATTCTCCTGGTGGTCACATTTTTCCGGGGACGGATTCGGTCGACCTTCTCTGGGCAGAAGCGCAGCAGGAGAATAAAGACCAGAGTGACCAAGAAGCTGGACAACAGGAGGATGGGAACCACGATCACCTCTTGTTCATAAACACGGATCTCTGCAGGAGATCAGACACAAGGAAGCATCACTCTACAGGTCTGACGTACAGACCTGCTAGTGCTCTATATCTACTGAGACATACTTTTCTAGTTATTAGAGAAATATATCTCTATCCCCTTAGTAGAAAGGTGAAAATATATGTTTTTATGTCCCCAATTTTAACCAAATTTTTCATTTTTGTATGCACTTATGTGTACAAAATGACAAAATAAAATCTTTCTAAGTCTCTAAGTCTATTTAGTGGTCATAGGTTCATGACTGTGATAAGACTCACCACAAACAGTGTCTCCTGCTGTGCAGCGAGAGTCTGATCCTGACATCCTGTCAGATAGAAGGACATTAAAGAAAAGCAATGTTGAGAAGCAGAAATAACCTCAATGTACAAATAATTCCCCAAAGTTGGTAGAACCATGAAACAGGAACATTTCACTAAAAAAGAAAACAGACAGCACTGAAAGACAGACTTGGCATAAAATGTGAAAAAGTATTTTCTTCTAGTCACTTACTACAGGTTGATTGTGGAGGACTTTTAATGGACAGCTATGATTCTACAAAGGTGAGGGTTTCCCTGACAGACAGTAATATTGTTTATGGAGACAGGTCAGTAACTTGACTCTCATACGTCAGCACTCATTAAGGCCTCAGTTTGTAACTGAGACCAGGAACTTCAGATGCTGTTACTCTACTGTCAGTCTATGTTTTCTTCCTACTTTTTCATCATTTTAATTATTTTTTTTTAATTCAATTTTCACAATCCCCAAAAGTCTCACGCGCTGTTGGATAAAACTGTATTTGTGCCTAAATACTTCCTGTGCCTAATAAATATTTACCACTGAAACTTGTATAATTAACACCAAAGACGGAATGCTGTCATCTGTATGCCATATGTTGGATTCTCAGCAGTTTTAAGAACTTTGCGAAAATACAAATTAAATATATTCAGTCCAAGAAGGAAACCTCTTCTCCCTAATGATCATCCTTTAGCGTCACATCCTAGATCCCCGAACCTGTTCATCTACATTTTTCTATCACATTGAAGCCTGTGTCGCATCTCACACCCAGTGTTAGAGCACAAACTCTCCACCGACTGCACAACAAAACCTCCGTTTTCTACACTGTTTCTGAATCTATACTGTCTATAAATGACCTGATGGAGCTGATGTGTTTCAGAAATACAATAAAGACAGAATTACCTCAGTTGTTAGGTTGAACTTCTGTACCTCAAAGAAAAAAAATAGAGTTGAATCCACTTATTGCAGGTTCATTATTCCTTTCTTCACAGAGTTTGGCACGTTCCATGCATCCTGTCAGTGTTCAGCTCAGCGCCTCAGCTCCTCTTAGGCTCTAAGGGATCAATTTGCTGCTCTCTGTTTGTCTACCTTCCCTCCTTTGGTGTATTCTTTAACTCCACCCTCATCACCTGCGTAAAATACCTCTTCTCTCCTGTTTCCTTCTTCTTCTCTCTTCGCTCCCTTTCTCTTTTCGAGTTAAGATGCTGAAGACTGAAATCAGAAGTCTGTTCTTCTGAAGGTTCAGCTGAAACCTTTCTTCCTCTCTGAAAAACTTCCTTTAGCTCCTATATATGTGAGCTCCTCTCTTGCTCTTGCTTATCTGCTCTCTGTTCATGGAAACAGGTCTAGCCACTCCTTGTCACTTTATAGTTTCCACCTCTTTGTTCAGCATGCTTGACCTGAAACCTGTGTGACTGGCTATGTTGTCTCAGGGGCATTTTGTTAGCAAAAAAAATATATTTTTAAAAACAACAGCCTTTCCTTTTAATAACAGTGAGTTCAAAGTGTTTTTATACTTTACAAATACATTATTCACTCACAATCCTACTAATAATTTCCTGTTAATTTCAAACTGTAGAAAAAAATTAAAACAAAATCATAGTTTTTCAGCTTAGATCACAAAAATACATCTAAAAAGTACCCCATGCATTTGTACTCAGTCTGCCTTTCTGCTGACATCACTCATAAAAATAATAGAAAATACAGCAACGTTTCAAAACCATCTAACAAGTAACAGTCCTTGTATGTAAATTAAATGGAGTACTTACTCAGCTGTTCTGTAAGGCCTTATAAGACACCATTGAGGAAAGAATAGCACAACAAGGACCAAGCATCATGAAGGCAAACCTCCAACCCTGTTTGAAGTCTTCCAAGGCCTCCAATGAGTTTTCCTACCCCAGATTTTGTTCAATCTATAATTTCATACCTTTCAACCCTGACCAGATTTCCTGCCACCCTCTAAGCAACAGCTTTCCCAAAGCATGATACTGCCACTACCGTATTTTAAGTGGGAATAGTGTGTTTAGTGTGAATCACAAAGAAACTATGTGCAGACCAACAAGTGAAGCTGTGGTCTCATCTGACTAATAAACTGCAAAGAGGATTTATTAAGCTTTTCTGTGTGCTGTTTTCTCATAAAAGACTGATTTTTGAAGTGCATAGTTATTGATTGCCAGTATGCCTTGCAGGAACTGCGTATCTCTGCAGCTTCTCCAGAGTTAATATGGGCTTCTTGGCTCCTTTTTCAGAATCATACTCTCCACACCAGGCCTGTCGATTTATGAGGATGGCCATGTATTGGTAGGTTTACAATAGAACTGCACATTATACCTAAGTTCAATTGTCACTACGATATTTACCGGTAACTACTGTATGCAATTGTGAAATATCTCTGGAAAACTTGAACACCATATTAGATATGATAATATTTCCTTAATGCAAATTCAGCAGGTCAATAATATTAGCTAAAGTTCACAGATTGATGGGATCTTTATGATAAGGTTAAATAAAGGGTGCGGAAAATATGGGATCCTGTTGGTTCAATAAACATCTGAGGTCTTTACAGGAGATTAACTGGATTAATACTAAGACTAAATCCAACAAAGGTGGACTCTGTTTCTGTTTACTTTAAAATCACACGCTACTTCGCATACAGGTGCTGGTCATAAAATTAGAATATCATGAAAAAGTAGATTGATTTCAGTAATTCCATTTAAAAAGTGAAACTTGTATATTATATTCATACATTACATACAAACTCATATATTTCAGATGTTTATTTTGTTTAATTTTGAGGATTACAAATGACAACAAATGAAAATCTCAAATTCATCATATCAGAAAATTAGAATATTGTGAAAAGGTTCAAAATTGATGGCCCCTGGTGCCACACTCTAATCAGCTAATTAACTCAAACCACCTGCAAAAGCCTTTAAATGGTCTTTCAGTCTAGTTCTATAGGCTACACAATCATGGGGAAGACTGCTGACTTGACAGTTGTCCAAAAGACGACCATCGACACCTTGCACAAGGAGGGCAAGACACAAAAGGTCATCGCTAAAGAGGCTGGCTGTTCACAGAGCTCAGTGTCCAAGCACATTAATAGAGAGGCGAAGGGAAGGAAAAGATGTGGTCGAAAAAAGTGTACAAGCAAGAGAGATAACCGCACCCTGGAGAGGATTGTGAAACAAAACCCCTTCAAAAATGTGGGGGAGATTCACAAAGAGTGGACTGCAGCTGGAGTGAGTGCTTCAAGAACCACCACACACAGACGTATGAAAGACATGGGTTTCTGCTGTCGCATTCCTTGTGTCAAGCCACTCTTGAACCACAGACAGCGTCAGAAGCGTCTTGCCTGGGCTAAAGAGAAACAGGACTGGACTGCTGGTGAGTGGTCCAAAGTCATGTTCTCTGATGAAAGTAAATTTTGCATTTCCTTTGGAAATCAAGGTCCCAGAGTCTGGAGGAAAAGAAGAGAGGCACTTCATCCACGTTGCTTGAAGTCCAGTGTAAAGTTTCCACAGTCAGTGATGGTTTGGGGTGCCATGTCATCTGCTGGTGTTGGTCCATTGTGTTTTCTGAGGTCCAGGGTCAACGCAGCCACATACCAGGAAGTTTTAGAGCACTTCATGCTTCCTGCAGCTGACCAACTTTTTGGAGATGCAGATTTCATTTTCCAACAGGACTTGGCACCTGCACACAGTGCCAAAGCTACCAGTACCTGGTTGAAGGACCATGGTATCCCTGTTCTCAATTGGCCAGCAAACTCTCCTGACCTTAACCCCATAGAAAATCTATGGGGTATTGTGAAGAAGAAGATGCAATACACCAGACCCAACAATTCAGAAGAGCTAAAAGCTACTATTATAGCAACCTGGGCTATCATAACACCTGAGCAGTGCCACAGACTGATCGACTCCATGCCACGCCGCATTGCTGCAGTAATACAGGCCAAAGGAGGCCCAACTAAATACTGAGTGCTGTACATGCTCATACTTTTCATGTTCATACTTTTCAGTTGGCCAACATTTCTATAAATCCTTTGTTTTTATTGGTCTTCAGTAATATTCTAATTTTCTGATATGATGAATTTGAGATTTTCATTTGTTGTCATTTGTAATCATCAAAATTAAACAAAATAAACATCTGAAATATATGAGTTTGTATGTAATGTATGAATATAATATACAAGTTTCACTTTTTAAATGGAATTACTGAAATCAATCTACTTTTTCATGATATTCTAATTTTATGACCAGCACCTGTATGTGGCTATAATGTTTAATGTTATTAAAGAGGCTTGGATATTTTTTGCACACCACCTAATCTCAGATTTTCTAATATAAGTATAAATCTGATGATTTTCATAACGACAGCTACAGATCTATTTTTAAATATATATTATAACCAAAACATTGTCTTGAGACAAGGTTTACACAATAAACAGGCCAATCGTATGCCTAGAAACCTTAAACAAATCCATTGTTGCTACCTAAACACAATTTACAACCAGATTTCTTCTTTTATTGTTCTGTTTAAGGTGTTAAACGATGAAGAGAGCAGAGAAACTAAGCCCACTTCTTTTAGTGTCTGAGAATCATCATAAATCCGTCTCAGGGCTGACAGATCTTAACCACAAATCCTCTAACCACCAATGCAAACTGTGTGTTGAGTTTGTAATAGGTAACCACAAATTGAAATCTCATGTCTGCACACATCCATGACTGACAGGACCCGAGTGGTAAATGTGTGTCTGGCCAGTTTAATAATGATTATTTTCCATCTGTGTTTCCATCAATGATCTAATAACACAGGGGAATAATGAATGTTATCTATTAATGCCACTGACTCAATGACATCAGCTGTTTCTCTTGCTCAACAAATATCAGCATCATTATGTAACAAAAGCAAACAAACCTGGGACTGTAAAAGAGATTAAAGGGTCCAAATATTCACTGTTGGAAAACTTGCCTTTTAAAATGAAATAATCTGGCACATTTGGAAAGCTCTAGTTTCCCTGACAACAGGTCCCCAACAGTGTATGTTGGCCTTGATCGTTATGTTGTCATAGATTTGTAATATACCTACATCTCTGTTTATTTGGAAAACAACTTGGCAAATACTTAAAGGCAGAACAATTATCTCTCTCTCTCTCTCTATATATATATATATATAAATAATGTGGGCGTTGATGGGTTAAATATTGTAAACGTAAATGTTTCTATAGCTTTTTGAGATGTTTTGTGCTGCAGTCATAACTTCACATGGGGAATGGGCTTCTTTAAGCCTTATGTCCCTCCAGTTTCATACCAATTCACACCTCATTGCATTTGACCAAATATCTGTAGGTAACACCCTGCTGTTGGTATGTTGGGTGGTGGTGGTGGTGGTGGGGGGGGGGGGGGGGGGGGGGGGGGGGGGGGGTTGGGGGGGGTTTACAATCTGAATGTGAGTTTAAACCACAAAGATATGGAAGGGTACAATTTAGTTAAAAATATTTTATTATTTTCAACAAAAAAAAATTTCATATTTTCCAAAGGGAAACTGAATAATGATCTTTTTACATAAGGTCCGTCTGGATCTCCTCCCTCTGGGACGAGTCCAAACAACCGCCAGGCCTCAGCTTGTGATGTAAAAGAAACTTGTTTCATTTTAGGGAGAATGTTTTATAAAATCTTACAAGATCACAACATTTTAGCAAATGATTCAGGATTTTGTTTTTATAACAAACAAACTGTGCTGGTCTTTAAAAAAAAAGGCATTTCATTCATTGGAGTCCATTAATCTAGTCTCTCTGAATCAAACAGTGGAATACTGGCTGCACAAATTAGAGCCACGTCGACAGCAGTGCTAAAAATAAAACAGGATCCTTTTGTTTGTTGAGTGAAAGCTGAAAAAACACATACTGTACTTGTCATACCATAGATGCTCCAACCTGTCGAGGCTATTTACAGCAACATTGTACGTTAAATTATTGAAATCAAACTGAAATTATAGAAGAGTTAAAGAAAAATATGAAGTTGATTTAAGAAGGCACAGTTTAGTATGGAAACATTTTATTTTGAAAGGATCTTTGATCTCAGAGCTTGGAGGCGGAGCTATTAGGAGTAGGTCCCAACCACTTCTCTCCTGCAAAAAAAAAAAAAAAAGATGAATCTCTTTTAAAAGAATAAATGAGGGGTCTCGTGTATAAAGTATGTCTATGCACAAAAAACTTGCAGCACATTTGGGATGTATAAGAATTAACTCTGTGTGAAAGTGTGCCGCAATCCACACTAACTCTTGACCTGCCGTGAGAATTTTCAGCTGTCGGCAAAACTTTTAATCCAAAATAACAAGCTAAAAAGCATTAAACTAGCGCTGGAGCAATCTGATTAATTATAAGACATATATAAGGTCTTTTGCTATGCTCTATCCAGATCTCCTCAAGTGGAAAAGATTTAGTTTCACCTGGTTTCCTTTCATAAAAATGTTTCTTTATAAATCCTTTGGCTATACAATTATTAATAGATTAAAACAAAAGAAAATCAACAGATTAATCAATTTGAAAAATAATAGTTAGTTCTAGCAGTTGCAGTAGTTACCAACAAGATTCTGGGAATGTTTGCTTGGCAGAAGCAGAGGAGTTCATTTATACCGGTTGGTTATGTGGCACTGATCCAATTTAATCCACACCTTGTCAATATAGCTGAGGTCAGAGCTTTTCAAAAATCAACTTTTAGTTTATTTTATTCTAAAGCTGCTCAATGTATCGCATTTCAATAAAGACACATGAAATGGATGCTGTATCTGTAGGCTTTTATAATAAAAGTGGCATACATATTCTGCATGCTATTAACATGTTTGACTTGATGGATGGAGTTTTTGCCCTAAATGACTTCCAAAGATGTGTATTTTTTTTTTTTATGGCTGAGCTGCTTAAATTTAGAAAGAGTGATGAGCATACTGACAAAAAAGGTCCGGAGGTTATGAATCATTATCACGATCCTCTATTGCTTTGCAATGACATGTTTTCTGGATAGAATTCAGCTATGTTTATGCAACAAACGATTTTCATGTCCCTTTGTGATAATTATCCTGTTAGAAGTGTAGCCTTTTAATCCGACCTCAGATGATAGGAAACTGGTTAGCATATTCAGGAACAACCAAGGTGAACCTTCCATAAACTAGGGCTGCAGCTATTATGCAATTCGATTAATCTGTTGATTATTTTTTGATTAATGGATTACTAATCTGATAGCAAAAGGTTCCTTAAAGAAGATTTTTTATGAAGTCAAACCAGGGGAAACTAAAACTTTTTCCCTTGAGTTCTGGATAGAGGATATTGACAGCATAAAATGTTTTTTTTTATCTTAACTGTAAAATTTTTATATATTTTTTCATAATTTTGATATAATTATTAGGCTTGTTTTAGAGCCACTATACTCCAGTTAATGATTAATAGATTACTAAATTAGCAGACCATTGTTTTAATAATAGATTAATCACGATTGTTTGTTATGCCTTACCATAAACCACAGTAAAGATGATTTGACCTCATCATGGACTGAGTGGGCAGTGATTGAGAAAGAGGGGTCTCTTCCTCCGATTTTAAATTAGGGTTTTCGGTCAGGTGAGATCAAGATTGACATGCCAACCAAATATAAAAATAAAAACTGTAAATACAGCAAGGTGGTGGTAGAATCATGTTGAGGGTCTGTTCCACAGCCAGTGGTACCAGCATTGCAAAAAGGTGACGAAATGTGAAAGGAGATAGCTGTGAGTTTAACTCCTCCCAGCCTGCTCTTGTTCCAAATCATTAGCAAGTTATTTAGCAAACATTTAACCAACCTGTTCCAAAAGGTAAAGAGGTAACCTCTGTGTGGCCTCTGACCCTTTCCTTCCTTAAGTCGGTTTAACAAGGTACCAAAAGCTTCATTTATCCTTGTTTTTTTGGCTTTAACCTGAAAATTGTAAAGCTTAGAAGTGGCTATTTCGCAGATCTAAACAGACCTGTTATTCCAATAAGTGTAGAATCATATAGCATTAAGGTTGACATTGTGACCAAAAGCAAGAAATTAAATATATGTTGTGCAACCTTAGACACTCTGTGGATGTGTTGTTTTTGAAAAATTTATCTTTTTGATGAAAACAAAAACCAGTTATTGAAATTCACCAAAACTCAGGAGATAGATGGTGAAAACATCGATATAGTTGGCTGTTCTAACAAGAAAATGAACCCAAAGATGTAAAAAGGATTTTAAAAAAAAAGACCATATGGAATAGGTTGACATCGACCTCACTGAAAAAATATACAGAATACATAAAACCTGAGTTCATGAATGCTGGTGAAGATTCTCAGTCATCCAGGCCATAATCATTTAAAAAAAGTTAAAAAACAACCCACTGGACTTTGTTTCCACTTTGTTTCAAAACTTTTTTGAAGAGTCCATTAAAGAAAAGTTAAGGAACTGAAATGAGCTCCACCATTTCTGACAGAGCAACAGTCAAATATTCAGCCAGAATTAAGCCATGTTGATGTTGGCTGATAATTGCGGTTGAGGTGAAATTTTCTCGGGGGCATTTAGGCAAATGTCAGCGTAGTGTAGGTGTGCATATTTGAATCTGTATATATATTTTAAAGAAAATTTACACAATTCCAGAATTCCAGAATTATACACTATTAATAAAAACACTGATCTTTATCTTATCGTTCCAACCAAGAAATGGTTCAAATAAATAACTCTGACATTAAATCCAGTGATGATTGAAAAGATGTACTGTACTGTCTGTTTACCCATGCAGTTGGCCATGAGCTCAAATCTGTCAGATCCGAAAAACATTTCAGGTTTCCCATCAATATGACAAATCACCATGGGGAAGCCAAACGCCTGGGGGAGAAACACAGGACATTGACTTTTAACATAAGTTCATTTTTTTTCTCCATTTTATTTGGATGTACAAGAAGAAAAGCTAAAGTAGCACCAACCCCATAGTTTAGTGCTTCCTCGGTCGTGTGTTTGAGCTTATCTTTGATCTCCTGGGAGGTGCACAGCTTTAGTGCTTCCTCAATCTTACTGTCGGTTAGTCCTGCTTTTTTTGCTGCCTGCAGAAAACCCCCAGCAAAAAACAAAAAATTTAAAAACAAAATGATGTAACTTAAAAAGTGAAATTAGATCAATGTGTGTCTTTAGACTAGGATGGACCTCTGAGAAGGATTGGGGTTGTGTAATGTCTTTGTCCTCACTCCAGATCCGCCTCCACAGCTCCCGGGAAACCCGCTCCACCTGCTTGTCTCCACCTTTCTCGATCTGCTGCACTGCTGTCACAAATCGCATGGCAGACAAACTTCCTGAAAAACAAAATCCAGGGCATTATGTTTTATTATTGTTCATGTCCAAGTAAAGATAAAACGATGCATCGATCGGCTGATATTTTTTGTTGATTATTACAGTTTTTGTTTTGTTTTTTAATCAGCGTTGACCAATACATGAATACATTGGTCGACTCATTCCTTCGCTCAGCAGTTATGCCTTAAGGTCACATAATCAGCATCGCCACAAGCCTTAAAAAAACGGTCGGTCAATCTCTAGTTATGAGCTGCATGTTTAAAATATTCCTGAGAAAGTGCTGATTTTAAAAAAGTGTGAGTGAGTTTTTTTACATGTAGAAAAATAGACCCAAAAATGAAACAAATAAACAAATCAAATACATTAGTTTCCCCCATACTGTCTTTCCTTTTTCCTTACGTTTTTTTTTTTTTTTGGAAGAGTAAAGGAGCAGCAATGATTGCAAAGGTGAAGACCAACCTCTCTATGTGGTCATCTTATCTGCCTCTACACCACTCTATCTGGAAACCAAGTTCCTACATTTTTATATAAAATTTTGACACTTTAAAGAAAAATTTTTTTTCTTCGTCTAAAAATTGTGGAAATCAAAGTGTAAAGTATCCAGGTTTACAACTAACTATTTTGCAAATCAATTAATCTGTTGATTATTTTTCAGATGAATCGATTAAATTGGATAGCCAAAGGTCCCTTAAATTAGATTTTTTATGAAATTAAACCAGGTGAAACTAAAACTTTTCCACTTGATGAATTCTGGATAGAGCATATAGATGGAGGAAAAACTTTTTTATTATAAATGCAAATTGTTTAGATATTATTTTTTACAATTTTGCTATAATTGCTACTCAAAATAGGCTGCTCTGTTGACTCAAGGCCTATTTTAGAGTCTCTATACTCCAGTTAACGATTAATCGATTACCAAATTAGACAGTTATTTCAATAATCAATTCATCACAATTAATTTGATTGATTGTTTCGGCCCTAAAAGAATCAACCTTGAACCTACTTCAACAGAATTCCAACAAATACTGAATTAGAGTTGCATAATATATCAAACGGCATTGCAACCTCAGAGCAAGCCTCAAACTGATGGAATATAATAATTCAAGTTTATTGGATGGACTCTTCCTGCCTTGATATCCACATTAGATGTTTATAGTTTTGGCAGATAAGTTCATGAGTAGCTAGAACATGATGAAGATGATAAACACTGCAGTAGTATCCCAATTAGGGCTGAAACAATGAATTGAATCATAATGAATTCTAATTTAGTACTCGATTAATCATTAATTTTATTATAGAGACTGTAAAATGTGCCTTTAGCTGACATAGTAACCCACCTTGAGCAGCAATTATACCAAAATTGTAACAACAAAAAAACATGTAAACATTTTACATTTAAGACAAAAATCTTTTTAATCTGTCAACATGTTCAAATCCAGAGCTCCTCAAGTGGAAAAGCTTTAGTTTCACCTGGTTTCATTTCACAAAAAAAATCTTCTTTAAGGAACCTTTAACTATCCGATTATTAATCACAACAATAATCAATGGATTAATCATTTACAAAATAATAACGATAGCTGCTGCTTTAATCCCACTATATGTTTTCCTGACTGCGCCACCCTATAATGAAACTTTAGTTATAAAAGTATGGTTCAGCTTTTTATACGTGACGTTAGCAACCTTTAAAGTACAAATATCACCTTCTATATACTTTACTAACACATTACTATAAAACTAAAATACTGAAGAACTGTCAATAAGTAACAAATAAAGTTGAAGATTATAAGGGACAATAAATAAATAAGGTAATTATTACAAAGAAGAATAAATAAAGAAGCTAATTAAAAGAGATTCATACATTTATGTCTCACTATATATTTCAATTTCTACCTACATTTATTAGTTTATTGTATTCTTCGGTGCAATTAATTGTATGCTTATTTATTAATTGAGCATTTATTTATTTCTGTATTTATTTTTCAATATGGCAGAGTTTGTCCTCCATATGGCCCTATCTCAAAGAGGTTTTAGGAATAATAAAAAGAAAAATTAGCTTTCAATTCATATAGTTGCATCTGGATGTTTTTTTTTGTTTTTTGTTTTTTAAGATTACTTTATACTTTTATACTTTAAGTAGTTTTTGGAGCACATACTTTTTTTTACTTTTACTTGAATAAAGAGGTTAAGTTGATACTTCAACTTTTACCAGAGTGTTTTTAAACTGCAGTATCTATATTTCTATTTACCGGTAAGTAACAAATGTGTGTACTTTTAACACCACTGATGTTTTTTGATTGATTGAACAAAAAAAATGTAAATTGGATTTTAATTAAAAAAAAATCACAACCATTTTGTTTGTTTGTTTTTTTTTTTTTATGCTCATAGTGTTTACCTTTTTCGAACATGACCTCAAAGGGGTCAGAGGGGGGGTTTATAGGCACCTCAAAGTATTTGGCCAGACGGTTCATATCCTTCGTCATGTAGGTAAATTTGTTGGGGACTAAACCAGGGGGCTTGTTTCCTATCATAAAAGAAACGGATTATTTCTCAGTCCATTTCCACAATGATGCAAACATCTGACCCCCACCCTGTCCACCGACCTGCTCCCTGCATGATGCCTCCCAGAAACGCAGGTCGCAGCTTCAGCTCGATGTTCCACACATTTCTGTAGCGACACATAACCTAGAAGCACAGGCGATTTTAAAACCCTCCAAACATATGAGTAAGGTCCTTAAGAAGGGTAAGAATAAAGTGACAAACCTCAAATCCGAGCCAGGAGTAAGGGGAGACCACATCGTAGAAGAGCTCCACCACTTTCTTTGAGGTCATCTTCAGGTTTTTACGTTTCCACTAAACCCTTAAATTTATCTTAAATGAGTCACCTTGCAGCCTAAATGTCGCCTGCCTTAGGACTTCTCCTGAAGTGTATCAAAGTTCAACAAACCTTGCGCAAAAACAACCAAGCTTCATGTTTGTAGTTCTGCACATAAAAGTAGAAACAAATACAGCAGACAGCCGTTAGCAAAAACCACGAGGCTAAAACCAAAGACCCAATCTGACTCAATATTTAGTCTCAACATAACATTTTTATCAACGGTGCAATAAAACTATCAAATAAACCTAAATATAAGCGCAAAAGACTACACAATGATATAAAAAATAAAATATATTTTTTTTCTTCTTCTGGTGTTTGTAGAGGTTGACCAACGACACTCTTGTGCGTAGCTGCCATCTTCTGGTAGAACGATGAATAGCAACTATTTGAAAAACAAAGATTATTTATTATTATCTTGTATAAAATACAGATACAGCAATATAGATAAGACTATAAGATATATTATACATGCCAAGTGATACTACACCTTTATTTGCCTTTGTTTTGTATAGAAAATTGTTAAAGATAGGCTCTGTTTATGGACCTTAAAGCTCTATCTCTCTGTTTCTTTTCCCTGAAAAGAGATCACTCGGGAAAAACTCTTTAAATAACATTTCATAACTTATATGTATTAAATAACCAGGAGACATGACGACAGATTTTGATAGAAATTGTAATCTTACTCAGATCAGAGAAATTGCTTAGAATATACAGGAAGTGGAAGGCATTTTATACATCCCCAGTCTGCCACATCATCCTATTTTACATCATACATGTTAGCAGATGATTAGACATCAGTGGCTCCAGCCTTATCAAAATAGGACACCGCTCTCATTCCATCTCTAAATCTTTGCCACGTACAGAATGAAGATTATAACTGTATATCCAGACAGAGGAACTTTCCTGATTAGATTAAAACGTCAGTTCTGATGCGCAACATGCAGCTCATACCAGGGTGTGATAAACTCACACATCTTCAATGATAATTATCCCAACAATATTAATTTTCCATCTTAAATTTCTGTCAGTAATCACAGCTGTTTGTTCCCCAATGCAAGTCCTTAACTAACAAACTCCTTTTCTTTTGCACTGATATTAAATTTTTTATGTCTTCCGTGTTTTTTTTTTGTTTTTTTTGTTCTATCATTTCTTTTCTTGATGTGGAGTATCTATATAGTGCTAAATAAATGACGTCGACTGGATTAGCAAAAAGAGATTTAAATCCCATTTGCTGCCATTCTTTGTTTTGAATGTTAACCTGTGAAAATATGTGTTCTCTCTGGATATTTGAGTTTCCTGTGGTGGACTGGCCACCTGCCCATAGATGGCTGTGAATTGCAGGATACTCACCAACCCATATTGTAACAGCCAGTGAAATTGGACTTTTATTCTGTAACTGAAGAGCACTTATTTTATACACTAGCCTGAAATAGCCCTTTGTAGTTATTCTAATATCTAGTAAAGGTGTTAAAAAGATTTATAGTAAATTCATATTTACTTCAGAAGCCTGACCTTTCTAAGATTTTTTATCATTTCTACATCTTAATCCATGCGTTAATTACAAATATAAATAACTAAAGATACTTAGACAAATATAAACAGCAAAATATATGCAATTAAACATCCATCCATCCGTTTTCAGTCATGCTTATCCCAAGTGGAGTCATGAGGGGTGCAATTAAATATTTATTATCTTATTAGAATAATCTCAGGTTGTACAATTTTTGCCCCTGGTCAATTAAAAAGAGCATCAGATTGTTTTATCAAATCAAAGGCCGGATTTTTTAATGTGCTAAACATGAGACGGCTTCCTGTAACAAACACTTTTAAGTATGAATACAAAGGATGTCAGTTTGGTTCAAGGCTGTGAATGTTGCCATCTCTTTCAAATGCACATATTTTTATCCCAGAAAGTTCATAGTCTCCGTATTTGTACTCTTATATCCATTTAACACACCAGTTATGGTCTATGATCCCATTTTTCTCAGCCAATTCAGTTAGGGGAAAACAGCCTCCTCCTACTTTCCACCTTTTAACCCGGAATCCCCTTCAACAGGAACTGAAACTATTGGATTTCTTTGGCTGATTTTATTACTAATATAAAAACTCTTGCAACAATTTCAGAAAGTTTTTGATATTCCATTTATATTTATATTTTTATTTGCCTTAATAATTTCCTTTTTAGCACACTGTTGCACTGTTTTTTACTGTTTGTTATGAGGTCTCTCTGCTAAATGACAACCCAGACTGCTTGTAAAGATAAATGTTTATCCATGATGTGCTTTTAACCGTAAGGTTTCTCTTCACTTATTTCATTGGTAGCATCAGTCTGAATGCTGAATATCTATTTTGTTATCATTGTGTTTTCTTCTTTTTAAATCTAAAACCTAATCTACAATCCAATTAAACTGATCCACTGTTTATACAGTTCTTAGGTCTTTGCTGCCACCTACTGGATTAATGCGGCATTAATACTTTTTCACAAATTAGGACAGAAAAATAATATTACCGTAAGTAAGAAACACACACACACACACACACACACACACACACACACACATATATATATATATATATATATATATATATATATATATATATATATATATATATATATACTTAAAATAAATGACATCCAAAAACAGAAATAATTTTTTAATGTCTTAAAGTAGTACTTAAAAGAAAAATGCTTTCTGATATTGTTCTCCGCTTTTTCAATGACTTTATTGCTTGTTATTTCTCCTTTAATTAAATGCTACATGAGGCCACTTATAACAATACAAGTTAAAAACAGTATAATCAAAATGTCTATCAGTTTGTTTAGTGTAAATTGGAACAACAAAAAGTTTTGTTTCAACCTTTACTCTGTATCCACCAACAAAAACACAGATCTGTACATTTTTTGTACTTAAATATGATTTATGATTCATCCTGTAATTTACTTTTGTTTTTGTCTAGATAACATTTTCAATATTTACAATTATGTAATTTGGACAACATAAATAACTAATGAACACCTTTTCTTTTTCAAAATTACCGGTCATTTTTATTTCTATTAGATCAGTTTTAAAGTTCTAATAATTTAATTATTTGCTCCTTATTGATATCAATATTGAAGTCAAATTACATTTTAATTTATTAATAATCTAAAATGTCTATTCCACAAGCATAAAATAAATATATCTCCTACAAAAATCGATTTTGTTTTACAATTTCTTTAAGTAGAGTTAATACACAAGTATGACAAAGGTAAAAATCTAGTCTTAAAATAATAATTTGGATCTTAGATCTTCAAGTAGTAGTATTCTCTATGTCTCCTCCTGAGGACTTGCTTGATCTTTGAGTTCAGCTGTTCCAGAGCTGTCACTGAAAAAAAAAAGAGGCAGTTCAATATTTTTATCCTAGGACACTGAAATAGAAAACCTCTGATGTTTTTCACTACCTTACCTCTCTGCATCTTTGTCTACCTGCAAGCGGAAAAAAAAGCCATTCAATTTATTTGTCTTTAAAGATAATTGTTGAGTGAAAAAAAGTGCTCTGTGTGAATTTACCTTCTGCTTCTGTGATGAATTACCAGCATTCTTCCTAGGAACTCCCAGGGTCTCAAATGAATGGCTTCGTACTCTGATGGCTCGCTAAAGAAGCAAAAATGTTAGAGAAGAATAAGATAAAAAGAAAAGGTTTAAAGAGGTAGAGTAAGACTTTTAAAATAGGATTCAGTTCAAGAGGCTCTAAGCAGTTTATCCCTTATCCACAGTTTCTTTTAGTACTGATGGGAATTATGTTTAACTGAGAATGGCCGAAACCAAACAGTAGTGTAGGAGCAGATTATGAATTTCTGTATTCCAAATGGTTTGGGTCACATGATCTGTCAGCTGTCTATATAGGTATGATCCGGTGTTGATGAGGACAGGTGTGTTCCACCCGAAAGGGGGAAACAGTTTTTGACCGCAACGCAACGCAAAATACTACCGATACAGAAGTGAAAGCTATGTGGATCGCAGAAACAATGTATACGGTGTTATTGTCAACATTGCCGAGTCATGCAAATAAATGGATTACCTGCACTAACATCAAGGACGGCTCTCATTTCAATTAAGCGGCTAAGTAATCGGCGTGTCAACTTTACCCTGGTGTACCACCTCAGGGGCTTAAAGCTTTGGCTTAGCCTCTATACAAAAGTCAAAAACTGTTTATGAAAAGAACTGATCGTGGAGAAGGAACTTTGGATGGCGTTTGTCTACGACGAGGGACGCAGATGGAGCCTGTGTGTTGGGAACGGAGCGTCAGCTGATTGGCATCAGCTCATCTGCAGCCTGGGGTGACGTCGGACAGGATCGGCGTTCAGGAGGACACCTGGGATTTCCTCGTTGCTGGATTTGAAATGCACGCATCAAATAGGTATGTGTAGCGCTACAATTAGTAAGATGGCCATCTGAATCTAAATCTAAACGTGTGCACACATAATGGCATAAATCCAATGCATTGGTTGCTGAAGTGGAGGAACTTTGTATCAATTAACTGGTTGCAATCTATTGACTGACGGACTTTTATTATGGAGGATTGCATAGCGGACGTGGATTTACCAGCAGGTGCTAGTGCGCCATCTACTGCTGACAAACAGGACTTTCTGACCAGCAGTTGTGACACACAAATGGGCAAACGAGTGGTTAAACTTTCTGCTAAAGCAATTGCCAATCGGTTAGATCGGTTGCAAGCTGATAGAAAGGCTAATCTAAATAAAGCTAGCAATTTAAAGGAAAAGATACAAGAGTTGATGCAAAATGGTTTGGTATCAGAAGTTCGAACGTTTCTTGATGGTTACATTGACTTGTGTGTTGAAATAAGATGCATACATGATTCATTAATGAATTTATTGCCGGTTGAGGAGAAAGAAAAACATGAAATATGGTTTAAAGCAAAAATGTTGTTCACTGATGAATTTGCTGAAAAGGTGAAAAGGTGGGTTAAATCAAAAGAAGATGATGAACTTAAAAATGAAAGTGTTGGTCATTTAAATATTGGTGCTGATATTAATCATGATGGGTTGGATAACGATGATATTAGGCCTAATGATAGTGTTTCTAATGTGTGTAAACATTATAGTAAAAGTGTTACCAGCAATCGGTCAAGTACAACTTCCTCTGCACAAATAAAAGCTGCAGCAGAGCGCGCTGCACTGGTTGCAAGAATGGCTGTTTTGAAGGAACGTCATGCACTGGAGGAACAGGAGCAACTGATAAAAAGGAAAAAGGAACAGCTTGAGCTAGAAACTGAGCTAGCTGCGTCTACTGCAAAGTTGGCAGTTCTGCAGGCTTCTGATGAACAGTGTCTTTCCCGTGCACCAACTGACGGAATGAACTCTTATTTTGAAAGGCAAAAAATGAAACTCACATCAGATAAAACTCTTAATGCCATGGCAAAGGATTATTATCCTGCAGCATGCAAAGTGATGCAGCAAAGAAATGCAGTACCAACACCAACCAAACTGGAAACAATGGATGTGCGACCAAAACGGACTGAAATGAAAAGTTCTGTGAGCAAGCAGCATTTTGATGCACATGATCAAATGGACTTTAAAAAGTCATATGTTTTACAACATGATGTAAAAACTTCTTGTGAAAATCAAACCAGACAAAGAATAAGTCATCAAACTGATCAAGTTCAAAATGGAGATGTTGTCACTATTATGCATAAGCAAAATGAAATAACTGCTGCACTTGTGCATCAACAGCGTCTACTGTCTTTACCACCACGAGACATTCCAGTGTTTGAAGGAGATCCATTTCAATATAAAGCTTTCATTAAAGCGTTTGAACATGGAGTGGAAAACAAAGCCAGTAAAGCTGACTGTCTGTATTATTTGGAGCAATTCACTGCAGGACAGCCTAAGGAACTGGTCCGCAGCTGCCAACATATGGATCCTGAACGTGGCTACATTGTAGCAAAAGGTCTTCTGCAGGACCATTTTGGAAATGAATACAAAATAGCAACTGCTTATATAAACAAAGCTCTGAACTGGCCATCAATAAAATCAGAGGATGTTAAAGCTCTACAAGCTTATGCTTTGTTTCTACGAGGATGTTGCAATGTGATGGAAGAACTTCATTATATGCAGGAGTTGGATATGCCAAGTAACATGAAAATGGTCCTTTCCAAGCTCCCATACAAACTCAGAGAGAGATGGAGAGCTGTTGCTCATGATATTTTGGAATCATATGACCACAGAGCTCATTTTATTGATCTGGTTGTATTTCTGGAGAAACATGTGAGGATCCTGTCTGATCCAATTTTTGGTGACATTGAAGTGTATGCACCACAACATACAGCTGGCCTGAGGTCTTCCAGCAGCTTCAAGCTACAGTCAAGGATCAGAAGTAAAGGGAGTAGTTTTTCTACCACAGCAACATCAGTGGATTACTCTGAAGATGGATCAAAGACACAAAAGCCATACTGTCATTGTTGTTCATGTGCTCACCTTATAAATAAATGCCAACAGTTCAAAAACAAGAAACACAGAGAGAAAATCAGTCTTTTGAAGGACAAAGGGATTTGTTTTGGATGCTTGTGTACTGGTCACATCAGCAAAGATTGTAATAAACGTTTAATCTGTGAAATTTGTGATCAACTACACCCAACTGTGTTGCATATTCCAAAGGCAAATTCTGAGCCTGAACCAATAAAAGAGCCAACAGGAGTTAAACCATCAACTCTTCCTCAGACATGTGGACATACAGGGGCCGGAAAGAGTCGCTGTATTCTGTCAATCATTCCAGTGCAAGTAAAGTCAGCCAAGGGAGTGAATGTCCTACAGACATATGCTCTTTTAGATCCTGGTAGTACAGCTACATTTTGTTCAGAACAGCTTATGCAAAGATTAAACATCACAGGGAAAAGGACTAACTTTCTCTTAAAAACAATGGGGCAGGAAAAGGTTGTTACTGCTTATTCATTGTCTGGCATTGAGGTATCAGGGTTGAATGGAAACAACTTTTATCCTCTGCCAGAAGTCCTTACGCAGAAGCAAATGCCAGTCACTTCAGATAATATTGTTACTGCTGCAGAAATAGAAAGATGGCCCTATTTGTCAAAGGTTCAAATCCCCACCATAAAGGCCAATGTTGACTTGTTGATAGGAACCAACGCTCCCAAGATATTAGAGCCTTGGGAAGTGGTCAACAGTTGTGGAGAAGGCCCATATGCTCTAAGGACAGTGTTGGGCTGGGTGATAAATGGTCCATTGAATGAAGATGGAAATAACAGCAGCACTGAAGTAAAGCCGCGTTCTGCTCTAGTGAACAAGATCTCTGTATCTAACTTGGAGTTCCTGCTCAACAATCAGTATGACCATGACTTCAATGAAAGAACCTCAGAGAAAAGTGAAATGTCAAGAGAAGACATTCGTTTTATGGAAATCATGGAATCCTCTTCAACTTTACAGGATAAGAAATATTGTCTTAAACTGCCCTTTAAGAACACAGATGCTATGCTACCAAATAGCTACTCTGTAGCCAAGCAGAGGATACTTGGATTAAGAAGGAGGTTTATAAATGACTCTCGACTTCATGAGGAATATTCAAGTTGCCTCCAGGATGTCATTAAAAAGGGTTATGCCGAGCAAGTACCAGATCAACAGTTGAAAGGTACAGTTGGGAAAGTATGGTACATTCCTCACCATGGTGTTTTTCACCCAAAAAAAGGTTCGTTAAGAGTGGTGTTTGATTGTGGAGCCACTTATCAAGGAACATCATTAAATAAAGAACTGCTACAAGGACCGAACCTTACCAGCTCCTTGCTTGGAGTACTCCTTCGCTTCAGGCAGGAGACTGTAGCATTTATGGGTGACATTCAGGCCATGTTCCATCAGGTGAAGGTTGCAGAACAAGACAGAGACTTTCTGCGCTTTCTCTGGTGGCCAGAAGGAGACATCAGCAGAGAACTGAAAGTCTACAGAATGACTGTGCACTTGTTTGGAGCCGTTTCCTCTCCAAGTTGCGCTAGCTATGCGCTAAAGAAAACTGCAGATGACAACAAAGATGATTTTTCTGATCAAGCTGTTCTTGCTGTCAAGCAAAACTTTTATGTTGATGACTGCCTGATGAGTTTGGGTTCAGAGGAAGAGGCCATAAAAATGGTGAATGAACTAAATGCTCTCTGTAAAAGAGGTGGATTTCAGTTGGAGAAATGGATCAGTAACAGTTGAGCAGTGTTGCAGTCTATCCCAGAAGAACACTGGGCAAAGGATTTAAAAGAGCTCAATTTGGATCGCGATGACCTCCCAGCTGAAAGAGCTTTAGGTCTACTGTGGTGTGTTGAGTCAGACTCCTTCAGATTTAAGATGGAGATGAAACGTCAGTCTCCAATTAGACGTGGCATGCTGTCCATCACCAGTTCAGTATACGATCCTTTGGGTTTTCTGTCTCCAGCCATCCTACCTGCTAAGATGATGCAGCAAGAGCTCTGTAGGAGGAGCTGTGGATGGGATGATGTCATCCCACTGGATATTTTAAAACGGTGGGAACAGTGGTTGGAGGAGGTCAAGTTACTGGCTTCATTCAAAGTAGCAAGATGTATGAAACCAAAAGATTTTGGGAACCTCAAATACTGCCAGTTACATCATTTCGCTGATGCCAGTAAAGATGGCTATGGAACTGTAACATACATCCGGTTGAAAGACAACAAGGATCCTATTAATGTAGCTTTCTTACTAGGAAAGGCCAGAGTAGCGCCTTTAAAAACTGTGACGATCCCAAGACTGGAACTTACAGCCGCAGTTTTGGCTGCCAGAGTGGACGTGATGCTAAAGGCAGAGCTTCAAATGCAGCTGGATGAATCTGTGTTTTGGACGGACAGTACATCAGTTCTGAAATACATCAACAATGAGGATAAACGTTTCCAAACCTTTGTGGCAAATCGGATCTCAACAATAAGAGAGATTTCAAGCCCTTCCCAATGGAGGCATGTTGGTTCCAACGACAACCCAGCCGATGCTGCATCAAGGGGAATGAAACCGACCCGTTTTCTGACTAACCACATTTGGATTGAGGGCCCCAGCTTTCTTTGGAAGCCTGAGGGATTCTGGCCAGAGAATCCTGTTGATAACAAGATGGACTCCAATGATCCAGAGCTCGAAAGGGATGCTCTTGTGAACTGTGCTGTCACTGATTCAATTAAGCCCACTGATTTTCTTATTAACTACTTTTCCGAATGGAGGAAACTCAAGATTTCTGTTGCCTGGTTTCTCAGACTGAAAACCCATTTGTTGCAGCTCATTCGACAAACAGCTCATTTGAAAGATCCTGATCTTAATAATGGGCAAGTGAAAGGAAAAAAGGCTGCAGTGACATCAAAGGGCAACGCCTTAAAGCCCAAGGATCTGTTGGAAGCTGAGTTGGCCATTGTACGCTATTGTCAGCAGCAGAGGTTCGAAAATGAAATTTCCTGCTTGCTGTCCAAGACTGGAACAGTAAGCAAACAGAGTTCCATCTATAAACTGGACCCTATGTTGGATAATGGGCTGTTGAGAGTTGGAGGAAGGTTAAGTAAAGGAGCAATGCCCATGGAAGAAAAACACCCTCTTATTCTCTCTAAAGATCAGCATATCTCCAGGCTCATTCTTAAACATATTCATCAGTTGTTGGGACACAGTGGACGAAACCATACTCTGTCAACTCTTAGGAGGAAATATTGGATCACCAATGCAAATGCAGCAGTGAGAAAAATCATATCTGAATGCCGCAATTGCAGACGTTTTAATGGGAGAGCTTTGGAGCAGAAGATGGCGGATCTTCCAAAAGAGAGACTTGTTCCAGATTTGCCTCCATTTACAAATGTTGGAGTGGATTATTTTGGACCTGTTGAAATCAAGCAGGGCAGAAAACAATGCAAACGATATGGTGTGATATTCACCTGTATGACGAGCAGAGCAATACACTTGGAAGTAGCAAACTCCCTCGAAACAGATGCCTGCATTAATGCAATACGTCGTTTTATCAGCAGAAGGGGTCAAGCTGTTCACATCAGGTCGGACAATGGGACAAATTTTGTTGGAGCCGAACGGGAGTTGAGGCAAGCTCTCGCTTCATTGGATCATAAACGGATTCAAGATGCTCTTACGCCATCTGGAGTTGAATGGAGTTTCAATCCACCAGCAGGATCCCATCATGGTGGAGTCTGGGAACGTATGATACGCCTTGTTAGGCGCATCCTCAACTCCGTTTTAAGACAGCAACGATTGGATGACGATGGACTTCATACTGTTATGTGTGAAATAGAGGCCATATTGAATGATCGTCCAATAACAAGGCTATCAGATGAGCCAAATGACTTGGAACCTCTCACACCAAATCATCTACTGCTACTAAAAGGAAAACCTGCCTTACCACCTGGGCTGTTTGAACCGTCAGATATGTATGTGAAGTGCCGTTGGAGACAAGTTCAATACATCTCAGATTTATTTTGGAAACGCTGGATCAAGGAGTATTTGCCCCTATTGCAAGAAAGACAGAAGTGGAATCAACAGAAGCAAAATTTGAAATCTGGAGATGTCGTCGTCATCATGGATTCATCTGCCCCACGTGGCTCCTGGCCTCTTGCTAAAGTAATATCGTTTTTTTCTGATAAAAAAGGCGTGGTGCGATCTGTAAAACTGCAGACAAAGAACAATATCATTGAAAGACCTATTACCAAACTTTGTTTGATACAGGGGGTGTAAATCAACAGTTATGTATTCATTTGCTCCTATTGTTATTGCATATAATTGTTACGTCTGCCTGCCATAACAATTAGGGGCCGGTGTGTAGGAGCAGATTATGAATTTCTGTATTCCAAATGGTTTGGGTCACATGATCTGTCAGCTGTCTATATAGGTATGATCCGGTGTTGATGAGGACAGGTGTGTTCCACCCGAAAGGGGGAAACAGTTTTTGACCGCAACGCAACGCAACGCAACGCAACGCAAAATACTACCGATACAGAAGTGAAAGCTATGTGGATCGCAGAAACAATGTATACGGTGTTATTGTCAACATTGCAGAGTCATGCAAATAATGGATTAGCTGCACTAACATCAAGGACGGCTCTCATTTCAATTAAGCGGCTAAGTAATCGGCGTGTCAACTTTACCCTGGTGTACCACCTCAGGGGCTTAAAGCTTTGGCTTAGCCTCTATAAGTAGTTTTAACCTTTTAGAAATCTTCTCTAAAAAACATCATAGTGGTTTATACAGTTATTGTTATCTTATGAACCCTTAATGCCATCAGCTGTTATTTATCCCAAAGGCTGATGATTGATTTATTGGAAATGTATGCTTGAGGTGTTGCATCACCAACAATTAGCCTTCTGCAAAAGCATTTTCAATAAGAAATATTGTGGTATTGGACATGAAGGCATGAAATTAGACGCCATGCCTTCCAAAAACTTTTTCCCCCCTTAGCTTTCCTGACAATCTATATAAACAACATTTTAATCAATGCAGGATGTTATTATAAATATAAATGTTTTTGTGAACTTGACATATTTGGTGCTCCAAAAGTTTTGTCCGATTGCTTGTCAATATGTCCAAATTTCGCACATGTGAACAGTCTTTTTCATTAAGAAATAAGGAAAACTCTGAAATGATCGCAAATATTTTTTGACTTAAAACATAGCTTAGTTTTTTTAAAGTAATCTTTACTCCGCATAATGGTTTGACGTTGAATAAAAAGCTTGTGGATGTTTCAGCCTCTCTTTCATCCGCAGAAAGAGATAAGTAGTAATTAGTTACATTTATTCAATTACATTTAATTGAGCAACAATATGGAAAAAAAGAAAAGTACTTTAGGAGTAGGTTTAGTTTGCTGTACCTCTTACTTTTACTTTTTTGTAATATTTTTGTAAAGTGTTGCTATTCCTACTTGAGTAAACTCTCTGATTCCTCTGTCCTCTGTGCGTAATTTGAACTATTCCAAAATCAAGTAGATGTGCAGTAAACAATAGATAAGAACTGTGGAAGTTTATTATCCTGTCCTAACATATACCGGTTCTCATTGTAAGGATCGGTTTTCTACGTTTTTTATTGATATTTCGTTTGCACAAATTTGTTAATTTGTTAATTTATTTCTTCATAACTTTTAATTGTATTCTTTAGGAAGCCAAGCAGCCTTTCTACCAAATACCTTTTTACTTTTACTCGAGTAATTTCTAGGTTAACTACTTTTTACTTTTACTTGAGTTTAAAAAAATAAAATAAAGTACTGGTACTCTTACTTGAGTAAAATTTTTGGGTGCTCTACCCACCTCTGCAGAAAAAATAATTCAATTTATCACTAGCTGTCTGTTGTGAACAAACACATAAATTAATGCTAAAACAGGAGTGCTTCTGATTGGTTGATTATCTCCTCGTTATGGCTCCTCTTCCCAGACGCCACAGTGAAATTAGTTTAATCTAAATCTATACAGAGACTATTTTTCTAACTGTCTGAAAAGGTCTTGGACAAGCCCCCGTTTGTCTGTCTGCAAGCTAACCAGGAAACCTTTGATAAAAAATAGTTCTTTATTCAGCTTAGATAATACTTTCTAGCATTAACAGTCCACGGTAATGCTATTCCTTTTGATTGGAATAGCTGTAGAGTTGTTAGGAGCATCTTTATTCTTTAGACTCAGTAATCAGGAAGTAAACCTGAAAAATTTGCACCATATAAAAATAAATAATTAATTCCTTAGACTGATTTCAATCATGTAAGCAAAAAAGATGAATTAACGTAAATGGAAGCAAGTGTTAATTGAAACCTTCATTTAATTCTGATTATAAAAAAGTCAAGTTTCACAACTGATGGTGGAAGACTCATAATAAAATATTTTATATACTCAGTTATGATCTGATTAGAACCCTCAAATCCAGAACTTTGCCCGTCATTGAATTATACGATGAGTTTCAATGTTTACCTTGAAATTCTCAATAAAACCTCCGCTTCCTTCAGAGGCGCCCCGTGTGTTCTCAGAAGGAGGGGCGGCAGCGATTGATGGATCCCCCATCATGCAGCGGGAACGACTGAAGAGTTCATTATGCAAGCTCTCCAGGAGCGATGAGCGCGTACGCAGCTTCACATGAAAGGAGTAATACTTTTATCAGATGAAAAAAGATTACACAATAGGTCTGGGTGTTGGTAAAGAGTGTTATTTAAAAAAAAACATATTTCGTTCTGCTACCTCCAGCCTGCTGAACTGCTCAGCCTTATAGCAGGAGATCTCTGCGTTGATAAGTTTGGTGAGAAGGAATTCCCTCAGCTGTAAAGGCTTAAAATGAAGAAAGGGAATTCAAATTATCATTGTGACACAGATCAGGATCAGTTAGAGAGTTTATGCATAAATCATATGCAGAAAAGATAAAAAAAAAAAAAAAAAAGCAAAGTTGATAATAGGACCATAAAATAATTCATCTAATATCTTTAATTTCTCTAATATCTAATACTTAAATCTTGTCTTGATCAATAGTTTTCTTCATATTAAGTGTTTGACAGCCTTTGTTTATTAAGCCATGTACTTGTGGATGACACCATGTTGTGCAATGAGTATGTATAAAATTAGAAAGTAGAAAAATTAAGAGGTTTGATCCCTGAAGATGGCAACATTGCATAAAAAAAAGGTTTAATATAAGATACTGTTAGAATAAAGAAGGATTTTCAAAGATCTGACACAGGAGCTGAAATTTACATCATCCTTCTGTTTGGCATCATATGTATCCTACATTTTAGCTAATAGATTTTTGGAAATCTTTTTGCTCTCAAAGATTAAGTTTTATGTTTTTCTATTGTTGCCGATTGAATAGAGAAATATCAACAAATTAAATAAAGAATGTTCAGGTTAATAAATATATATTTAGAAATGTTTCTTTGCTAAACTGTCATTTACAGGTTTATATTAATGGTTTTAAGTATCAGAAAAACTAAATCCTTTAGTATTTCAAGGGATTTAATTTTTGGGAATTACTGGAATCTGATCTAAAGCATAAAACCCATTCAACAATAGTGTTACTTACTAGAGAACTACATTTGTTTCAGTATAGAAATGTTTTATAAACAGGTATTAAGTTAAAATTCAATTTAAGCAAGGTTTACTTTCTTTTTCTAGGTACCTCTGGATTTCAAGTTGATGAAAAAAGTGACCAAAGTCACGCAAAAACCTTCCACAAACCTTTGAGAAATATTGATTAAGACCATTTAAAAATATTAAGGGAAATCTGATTCCCTTTTAATGAGAAAAGTCAAATCAAGCAATAAAATAGACAGCTGCACTTCTAAAAAATAGCGCAATAATTTACCTATGAAAAAAAGAAATAGAAAAGTAGATGTTTTACATCTTTGAAAAGTGGAGGATCAGGGATGATGGGTCCAAAAGGAGGCACATCCTCTCTGGCTGTAACAGACACCTGTAAGATACACCACAAGAAAACAAATATTTACTTCTTTAAGTTCCTAATAACAATGCAAAAAATATTAATTTCTTCTGCCAAGTGATCTAGTTACATAGAGCTACAACCACTTAAAAAAGGGAAGCTTTGATTTTCAACTACAATTCGAAAAATTATGGATTTTATTCTCACAATACTCTGAGCGAACTATCAAAGAGAGTTCCTTTCTGCTCATACCCAATGAGTGAGGAGACAAAAAATTAAAAATACAAGTGAAAATATTGTAAAGCAGTGTTTCCCAACTGGGGGTATGTTTACCCCAAGTGGACACTGCAACGGGTACATGAAAATATTTTATTTCTTAGGTAGTAAAATAGAATAGGGCTGGCCCCCTGCTTCATTGGGACCCCACTGAAACATTAAACAAGCTTTTATCAACCAAAAAGTTAATGTCTTTTTATATGTTTAAAACTAATTAAGTCAGTCTGACTATCATTTATGTTCTGTTTTTTGTTTCCAATTCATGAAGTTTAAATGTGATTATAGGGGAGTTACTCAGAGAAGCTTCAGTTTTATAAATACAGGTTTATATTATGATTTTATTTTATATTTATTTTTATTTCTTACCAACTTCTAAGCAACTGTTTTTTTATTTGCATAACATTATAAAAATTAAATGCTCGAATTAGAGATTCAGACAGGCAGACAGACAGACAGATGATAGATAGATAGATAGATAGATAGATAGATAGATAGATAGATAGATAGATAGATAGATAGATAGATAGATATGAAATTCACCTGTTCAATAGCAGAGATAAAAACATAAAATTGGACAAAAAACACATAATCAGAAAAAAGTTATAATAATAAAACTCAGTCCCTTTAGGAGCATTGAACTGTCTATTGGAAGCCGGGACAAAAGGTCATCTGTATCTCTCTGTTCTGTTTCTCACAGAGATCAGTCTTAAAATAGTCTTTATTTGCATTGTTGTACATTCTACTTTTGGACAATCATCAATACTTTTGACTGAGGGGGATAATCATGGTAAGACAAAATGCCCTAAGGGGAACACAAGTCAAAAAAGGTAGGGAAACATTGCTCTAAAGAAAGTATTTAGAGCTGTTTGAATAAAGAGGACACTGCAAATATTCACCTTAAGTTGTTTATTTCTAAAATCTTTCAAATTTCAAAGTGACAAAAAAAATATTTAGATAATTTCCAGTTGACCCTCACCTGGTAAGCGGCTCCACCTGCCTTCTCCTCCCTCTGAACTCTCCGCACCACAACAAAGCAGTGAAGGAAGTGAGACTTTATGACGTCACACAAAAAAGGGGTTTGTCCGTCCTGATAAACCAGAGCTACAATGTCATTACCGATGTGCCTTTTTCTCTGTAACTGTAAAAAAAAATAAAAAAAAAACAAAATGGGAGGGGTTAGATTCAGTTTTAGCATCACATACTTTCTGTCCTGCAGTTAAACTTTCTGGAGATAGTTTCAGGAACTGCCTCCTGTGAATCACAATCTGGACTCTCCAACCTGCTGAGGGTCAGCCTCTGTATAAGGCAGCTTGGTTGCAACATGGAACATGATTTCTCTTCCGTTGAAGGAAGTGAAGACTGCTTCATTTCCCGTCTGGCCATGACACACGTCCAGTCCTCCTCTGAAGCTAAAAAAGGGCAAATAAAGATACAATGTAACCATAGTTTGGTGACTAACTTTTTCATCTTTTCTAAGTTAATAAAGACAACATCTAAAAACCAGAGACAAGTAGAAGAGGAACAGGGCTTGTGGACTATACAAAATAAGTAGGCTACTATTTGGCAACTAAACTAGTTCATAGAAATTCATTTCAGTAATTTAATTTAAAATGTAAAAATTAAGACAGTGAGATTTATTTATATTAACATAGATCAGTTGATTTCAAAACTGTCCCTCGAGGCTGGACCTCATTTTTGAGATGTAATAACCCTGGTTTAAAACACACAGATCCAATTATTGGTACACTACCAGAACTTTAGAGGATTCGAAGGCAAATTTAGGAGGCAACTTAGCCATTAACATAGAATGTGTCGGGACAGTAACACATCTCAAACTCACAGCCTATATTATATATAGATATATATATAGTAAAGTAAATTGTCTCATGTCCTAACAATTGTGTTAAAGTAATTAAATATGCTTAAGTAGATGCAAAAAATGCATGATTTTGTTTTTTTAGTGGAACCCTATGTCATCTGCTTCTGTTTGCTTGTCATGTTTCATCAAGTCTACAGTCAGCAGACATATTTAGTAGGAGATTGCAGAGTATTTAATGTGTCCCTGATGCTATTTTCATTTGCTAGCAGGTGTTGGGCCAAACAGTACTGAACAATTTATCACTTTATTAAAATGACCAGTAAGCCCATAGACAGTAGATATATTCTAAAGTTTGTAATTACATTTCAGAAAACATCATTGTGTGAGAGATGACTCCATGAAATTTATTATTTAATGCCTTTAAATAGAACTATTAAGATAATTTGAAATGTGAAATCTCTATTCATAGAGATGCACTTGTAGATGTTCCAATGTTGAGATATAAACCAAGAAAATGGAGCTTTACAGCAGTTACACACCACTGTTAAGAGTATATATAAAGGTTCTTTTTCTGGGTCGATCATCAAAATAAGTGGTCCTCCTAATAGTCAATCATTCTGGTGAAATGTTTATGTAAAGCCCTATGTGCTCGTTCCCATTTTCACTTACCGGTGGTGAGTCTGAAATAGTGGAAACATTGCAAAGAATCTTTTGTAATGTAAGCTTGTATGAGCGATGCAAACAGCAACTTTTAAACAGAGCATGCATGGGGAGAAATGGGCTCATGCATGCTCTCACACTTGTTTAAAAGGCATTCCCTTTAGGAGCGGATACAGGGTTGTGCATGTGCATTTTTGTTTTAAAGTGGAGAGGGTGGGTCTTTTAAAAAATTCTCGAAAATTCTCCACTATACCTTTAAATAAGTCCATGAAGACTTGTATGGTCTACCTTTTTAGTTTTAAAAAGGCCATTTACAGACCTAGACTTTGCATGCTAATCAGACATTCTGATAATCAAATCTTGTTTGGTGTGAAATCACAGTAAACGGTTTTAAGTGGCAACAATTTAAGAATGCTGTGAATGTGGCTTTTTTCTGTGTAGTACAACACAAAGAATCTTTTATGAATCATGTTTGGGTTCAATTCTAATTCTGTAGTAACTAGAATATCCTTTGACTGAGTGCAGGAAACTTAGTCACTGACAATTAGAAATCTTTCTGTGTTTTTGATTGTCAATGAGTTACTGATTTCATCACTCTGAAATTGGGCAGTTTTATTTATTTCATTCAAGTCTTGAACGTTTAGTGTATCATCAAGCAGATAAAGTATAATGAAAAAACTCTGAGAATCAGTGAAACACGATGGTGCAATATGTATGTATGATGCACCACTACAGCCTACAGTTTCCTCTTTGGTTTGTCTTTAGTGTTACTAACAGACTACTGATGCAAACACTTAGGGCCTGATCACCAATTAATCCAAAAAAGGAATGCTGAATTTCATGAGCATACCAAAAGCTGGATGTGCAATAAGAGGCTGATCGACAAAGATTGTGCAGCAAAACTTAAGGCCTGTAACCTGGTTGGGTTTCACACTGTTAAGCTGAACAAAATGCATTTGCTGCTGACAGCTTAATGTTTGTACAAGTTCTAAGCCATGGAGTTGAAAGTAATCATGATTATAAAAAGGTTATGAAAATTATAATAACTATAAATACTTACTATGGTGCATTTATATAAGTAACGTAAAGTGTTACAAACAAAGTAAAAAAAAAAAATCATAATAACAAAGGTTAAATAGAAAGACTAAAATATCAATCATTAGACCTGAAAAAGTGTTCTTTGTATCTCTTTGTATCTCCATTAATATCATGTAATTGCTATTTATAAAAGTTCAAAAATGTTTACAGAATCTCTCGATCATCTCTTATTGTATCAGCATCTCCTTTGGGGCAACAATGGCCACAGAAATTGTTTTTGTTTGAGGTCCGATTCTCAAATATGCTAAAACTAGATGAATAAACAAATCACATTGTGGATGTTGATTATTTTATTTGCATAACCTCCACACACTGATATGCTCAGTTTTGTCATTAGAATATGTGATGTATGTACATGCAGGTAAAATCGCAAAAAATAAAAAAAATAGCTTTTTCTGGTGTGCATGCAAAACACACAAACCTTTTGAAGCTTGAACGCATCAATATTTACCCAATGCAAACAAATGGAATCATTTTTTAAACTATACATTTTGATTAAACGTGTTACTTTTTTGTATGAACTTTACCCTGTGAATCCCTGCAGCTGAACAACGTCTCCCAGAATGGACAGGAACTCTCTAAACTTCTCACTTTCCTCATTGTTACTCAGTATATCCTCTTCTGTGAACTACAGAGAACGAATTCAATCATCTGAGAGAGAAGACTTTGTGATGATGTCGTTAGATATTTAAGCTGTTAGTGAGGTTTATATTAAACCCTACCTGCCCCTCCTTTTGGTACAGAACACCAAACTTAAAATTAGAGGAGACTCTGTGCTCATCAAAGGCTGTTATTAGGTCTGGAGCCTGTAGGAAGAAGTAGACAAAAATGTTTATGCTGACAATCATTTTTCAGGCAGACATCATTTGTTAGCATCTGTGGGGAGAGTGCATTGCACAACATAGTATTTGTTATTATTACTGGCAGCTGAGTCATGTTCTTATGTGTGATTAAATTAGATATGTATGCGGGAGGGTAACCTTGAGGTAGCTGACCACTTCAAACTTGGAGACCGTCACTTTATCACACAGCCTCTGTAAAGAAAAAACTTTAAGTTATTTCTAAAAAATGAAAAGTTTTTGCATTTATTAACACATGCATATTATATTTAGAGTTCTAGTTACAAGAAGCAAATTAAACTTGACAGCATCATTTGCTTCTTCTGAATTAGGAAAGCTTACAGTACTAAGATAATGCTTAACTGAAAGCAAGAACTTCTTTTATAGTTCATTCTGATAATCCAATAGCAGTATAACTTTTACTACTGTACCTTTGCTAACTCTACAGCTGATGGCATGTTGTTGAAAAGGGACAAAGAGAAAGTGCCATGCAGGGAACATTCCTTCATCCTGGGTTAAAAAAAGGACAAATGTTTTACAAGCAGTTTTTCTTCTGTGATGCTGTTGCTCCTGTGTAACAACAAACATAGACTGTTTTTGAAAAACAAATAGAATATACCTTTTACATGATCAAAAGCACAAAATCATGCTTTTGAATAACCAAATTCAGGCGTTCCTCTCACTTCAACAGATGTTTAACATCCAGTACCCAGTCATGCAGATTAAACTATAAATATTTTTAAGTGAATGTGTTGATACGATACCACACCATACCAACTTTATTTATGAAGCACTTTATACACCGAACAGGACCAAAGTGCTGTACACAGTCATACAATACAATAAAATTATAAAATAGAGAAAAAACGAGTGTAAAATACATATTAGTATACAAAAAGAATAAAACAAAGTAAAACCTCTCAAATTGTGCCAAAAGCCAAGGAAAAAAGATAAGTCTTAAGAAGGGACTTAAAAACAGCAAGAGAAGAGGCCTGTCTTATGCTGAGAGGCAGATCATTCCACAGCTTAGGAGCTGCCACAGAAAAAGCACGGTCTCCTCTGAGCTTGCATCTTGTCTTTGGGACCCTTAGAAGCAACTGATCAGCTGACCTGAGGGAACGGGAGGGTGTATAAGAATGTAACAGCTCAGACAGATAAGAAGGAGCAAGGCCATTAAGAGTTTTAAAAACAAATAAAAGAATTTTAAAATTAATCCTAAAATGTACTGGCAGCCAGTGTAAGGAAGCTAAAACAGGGGAAATGTGGTCGAATTTTCGTGTACCTGTTAAAAGACGTGCAGCAACATTTTGAACCCTCTGAAGATGAGAAATATACAAGTCACTGACCCCTGTATAAAGTGAGTTACAGTAATCCAGCCGTGTGGTCACAAATGCATGATCTCAGGAACTCAGTGAATTTCCAACCTCATACCTTATTAGGGCGTCAAATGTACAGAAAGTCTAGCCATGAAACTTCCCCTAAATGACCCAAAGTCCACTTTATTGGGATAATAGAAAAGAGGAAGTAATTGTGAGTGATAGCCATTCAGCCATAAATGTGTAGGCCACATTACATCACGAAGCAATGACGGAGAAACCTTTCTGGAATGTTTTTTTAACGCCCACTAGCTGTGTCTAATCTGTACGCTACCAGTGTGTTTCGTGGGGTTCTGAAACATATCCTGCATTTGGACTCTAGAGCATTGGGGATATCTATATTAGAGTGAAGAATCACTTTTCAATTGGTAATTCACAACTCTGTGTTGTAATCGAAGAGCTGGGTTTGGCTTGGGCAGGATATAGGAGAACAGCACCTGGCTGACTGCATTGTATCATGTGTAGAATGGGAGTTATGGGGTCCAGCTGATTTTCAGGAGTTGGGCTTTCCTCATTTCCAGTTAAAAAAAAAGAAGAAATACATTTTCAAGAAATGGACTGGCCTGCCAACAGTCCTAACCTGAACCCAGAACAATAATTATAGGACGATTATAAAGAATAGCCTGCAAGCCAGTCCTTTTGTCCATCATCAGTGTCTGGCCTCAAGAAAGATATAGTGGAGGAATGGTAAAAAAAAAAAAAGAAAGAAAAAACTCTGTAAACATTTGGAAATCCATCCAAGAGCTGTCGAATCATTTATTATCCTGAAATGTTATTCTAAAATTATAACAAGGGATTAGGAATGGGATATCACTTATATTTACAGATTTTTCAAAGCCAGACCAGCAAATTTCTTTTGGCACTACTATATAATATTGTTTTAAATGTTATATTTTGAACTTTTTTACAAAATTCCTTTAGATTCTTTTAGCAAAACCCATTTCCAATTAATAGGAAATTATCACTTATAGATTACCTTATAATTACAAGGAAGCACAACCTCTATAAAACCTTGTTTGGCAGGTTGTAGATGTGAAGTTTCATCTGCATTTGTGATAAAGAAGCAAATGTTGCTGCAATCAGTTCTGGAAAGAGTTGCTAAGATATTTCAAAAGTATTTAAGTGCTTCATTTTACAAGAAAATAGGTTATTATTATTCAATATAACCAGTCTTTTCTAGAGTTAATGTCCCGGCAAATCTAGCTCTCAACTTTACTTAGCACATTCAAAGTTGCAAGTAAGACGACAGCCTGAGATTTGTTTCCATGTACTTTAAGCATAACTTTTGTTTTTGAGTGTTGTACCAAAAGGAACTAATATGTTATGTAAGGTTCTTTTCAGATTAAACAAAAGTAAGGATGTTTTGAATATAAAGTACAGCACCACATTTGATGACAAGCATCCACTGTCAGTGCATAGTTTGGGATCATTTTGCAGCCATCTGGGCAAAGGCTGCATACTGCTGCAGTGGGTAGCCATGTTGCCTTGCAGCGAAAAGGTTCTGGGTTCGATCCCTGGCCCAGGGTCTTACTGCATGGAGTGCATGTTATCTCTGTGCATGCGTGGGTTCTCTCCGGGTACTCCGGCTTCCTCCCACAGTCCAAAAACATGACTGTTAGGTTAATTGGCTTCTCTTAATTGTCCTTAGGTGTGAGTATGGGTGTGCATGGTTGTGTGTCTCTGTGATGCCCTGCGACATACTGGTGACTTTTCAAGGATTTTCCCCGCCTCCCGCCCATAGACTGCTGGAGATAGGCACCAGCCCCACCACGACCCTGACGGAATAAGTGGGAGAAGATGGATGGATAATCTGGTCACCTTGTTGTCAACAAACTATTTAGTGTGCCAAGAGTGAAAAAATTCTTTTAAAATGCTAAATCTTGGTTAAAACTAGGTCACCAGGGGGCGTGTTTTGGTGGCGCACGACCCATGTATGGATGCTTTAGTCCTCTGCGTGGGCGACCCAGGTTTGAATCCGGCCTGTGGTCCTTTCCCGCATGTCTCTGCCCCTCTCTCATACCCCCTTTCCTGTCAGCCTTCTGTCCATAAAACGGGCCACTAGTGCTGTAATAACTCAAAAGAAAAATAATGCTTAAGACAGGAGAAAGTATGGAGAAACTCATCAACAGACTGTCACAGAGAGAGACCTCAACCCAATACAAATTCAGTTGGGAGACTATGCAGAGAGATGTGCAGAAATAAGTGTTTGGATCTGGGCCAGAATCCCTCAGGTGATTTATGGGATGAAAAACAAGTTACTACTGCTCCTCTGAGCTAAAGAAACAAACTGTCTTACTTTTTCCCATAAACGTTCTGGCTACCATGTAAATTTCCTTTACGAAATATCAAAATGCATAAACATTTAAAATGTGGATGTTGTCAAAGTTCAAGCACATCTCTTGTTTTTTCTTTTTTTTACAAACACATTGATTGAATCAGAACTTTCCTTGAGAATTCCCCAAACATATGTGCTTATGATAGAAAAAAAATATCCAAAAAATGTTGTTGGATAGTTTAAATGGACCTTAAAATCACCCGAAGTTTATTCTCTTCGTCCTCCAAACATACAGAGAGAACCAAAGGCCCCAGCGATGGATCCACAGCTATGAATGAATGGTGGTACTGTTGGGGAAAAAAGGTTTAAAACTTTCAAACCATTCCATCAATCTTACCACATCCAAATTTGGACATTAAGCCGTACTCACTCGAGAGCGAAAAAACTCATGGTAGATTTTGGCCTCGCCATCTCTCTCCATGATGTCGTAGCTCTCTGGATCGAGACCATGGTGGGACAAGGTGGGACTCACATCTCTGAGCTTTTCCAGAGGTGGGTCAATCCAGTAGCCTCCCAGTTTGGAGGGAAGAATGAGAGGCAGATCTGCACCTATTTTCAAAAGCTGAGACTAAAACACACAGAAAGGAGCACCAGATAAGATGTAATGTGTTTTGGAGGAAACATTGTAGTGATTGTAAAATGCCTGTGTCAACACACATACGTACAGCCCTGCGGAGTGAGTCAGCTCAGTTTTTCCCTTACTGTCATGATCCCTTACCTTCAGAGGAAGCGGGAACTCGCATCTCTGCTCATCGATCCTGCTGCCCTGATGGACAAGAGCACCGATGACAACAAAGCTCTGCTGCTCAGACATCATCCGACACAAGAATCACTGTATACGATCAATCGCACTGAAACTCACCTGCAGCTTCATTATGATTTCAAACAGTTCTGCATCCTGCACACACATCCATTCAATTGAGGCGGAAGAAGAAACAGGCGAGGGGGGAACAGGAATATGATTAAAACATTAAAAATCATAACTGTGACTTTGCATGTGAGCACAAAAGTAAAAGGAGAACATTATAGGTAGATCACCCTTTGATTGTTGGTGGAGGATATGAAAGGCTTGCTTCCAGTGGTTGGAGAATGCAGAGCCTCCAGAATGTTTCCCTCCACAGATTCAGGTCTGAAACAACAGCTTGATTTACTCAACAAGTGAACACAATTGGTCAACTTATTTTCCAGCTCATGTAGCCAAAAGGCTCCTGATAAAGGAAAAACAAAGCCTTACCTTGTCTCATCCCCACAGGTGAATTTGTCCACACTGTTAATGAGAAACTCAGCTGCTTAAATTATTTTTCATAAGACAGAAATAATTTGAGGAAAATAAGCGTACACTCACCCGCCATATGCCCCAAAAGTAAAACTTCTCTTCCTAGAGAAGGACATGTCATTCCTCTTTTCTCTCTCCATGGCTTTGTTATCACCATAAATGTTTCTACATGCCAGTTTGGAACTGAGTCAATCAGGGCTGCCTAAGGTTGAGTTAATTCACTCTTTCATTCTCTCTCTCCTCCTCCTTGTTCTGCCCCCCCCCCACCCCCAGCTCTCACTCATTTAAGCTTCCCTTTCCTCCCTTCGTCCTGTTGTCAAACAGGCAACGTTAACCCAGTTATGGCCACATGTGAACGCCTCGCTCAAACTATCTCAGTCATACTGCTTCCTTGCGCCACTGATTCCCACATAAACAGAATATGGTGGTTTATCACAGGTGGACTCAGCTTAAAGATAGACCAGGAAATAAAGAAAGAAATGAGTGAGACTTTTTTTTTTCTTTCCCTCCCGGACCTGTTACCCTTTGAGTCAGTGAGAATCATCAATTATTGATGGCACACACAGCGAGGGTGAGGAGGTAGACAGCAGGAGAGGAAGAGGTGGAGGGAGCAGGGGAACGTCAGAAAGGCAAGGGGAGGAAAGAAACTGAAAGAAAGGCAGATGTAGATAAGGGAGGTGTTCCTATTCTAATAGTCAAAAAAAGGAGAGCCATTACAGTGAACCAATGTTAGAAAGTAGCCAACGTTTTGGGTGAAACATTACCAGCTCCTTCAACTTTTACACATTTTGTCACGTTGTGACCACAAACTTTACGGTGTTTAACTATGATTTCATTTGACACACAGTAGCGCATGCAGATAAAAAGAAAATACTACAGCAGATTTATTTTAGTTTTTGCTTTTTAGTTAAACTTAGATACTAAAATTACCTTCACTTTCTTAATGGGCGACGTTGGTCTCACCCTATTTGTAGAATTAAAAAAATGTAGATATTTTAAATGGTTTTGGACATGAACGTCCCATTTATTATTATACAGCTCCTTTGGTGACCGCAGGTCATTCATCCCTGCTGCAACTAGACTCTACAATGTGACACTACAAAGGCAATAACACGTGCAATGTTTAATGTGCAATTACTATTTGATACCCTGTGCAATAACCTGTTTCTTTATATTTGATGCCCAGCGCAATAACTATATATATAAATACAATGTCCAATAATCCTGTATAATGATCATACTATAAAAAAAAGAAATGTGGAAGCACTGTATATACTGTATATATCCCATGCAGCTTTTTCTTCCTTTGGCACATTCTTCTACTTGGACTACTCGAGCTCATGTAACATGTAAATTTCTCCACTGTGAGATCAATTAAGTCAATCAATCAATACACAATCAAAACAGCTTAGATTTAACCCCAGCCTTTAAAGCGACCACTCCGAATTCAATATTATTTTCTAATTTTTTGACCTCCTAAGTAAGTTGTTTATGCCCCCATTAATTAATTAACAGGATTAATTGAAAAAAGTAATCACTGTTCTTTGTTTTCTACATTTTTTCCTCTGTGATTCACTGTAATCAGAGAATAACAGTTGGAAAGTATCTGTGAATATTATTTTTAAGTCTTACTGGAGATTATGAACCAAATATATATCTGGACTCTAACTGGGTCATTGAATATATAACTTATCATTTAACTAAATCAGTCTGATGTAACTCTGGCAGTATGTTAAGGTCCATTGCCCTGCTGGTGGTAAAACCTCCACCCCAGTCCTAAAGTCTTTTTTTATCCAACAGAAAGTTTTCTTCCAAGATTGCTTTGTATTTAACTCTGTATTTTTATTATCTCTCTCTAGCTTTATTGTCTCTGCTGGAGAAAGATATTTTGACAATGTGATAGTTTCTCCACCTTGTTTCCCCACATGGGGATGATGTGATTAGGATTATGTGAAGTCAGTTGTCCACCACATATTGTATTTCAAATGTTGGTCAGAAAGTATAACATTTATTTTTGTTTGCTTTTTCCCACAAAATTGCGGCCAACTATAAATTAGATTTATGACTGCTTTCTTTCAACAGTATTTCTATTTTATAACTTCTCTTTAAATGCCATATATGTTGTTTGTGGAAAAAAAATATTTAAATTTTACTCCTCTGGCTGCTGGCAATGTCTTCTACATAAAGTAAGTTCTTAGTGGGTTTCATAAAACTGTTCAATAATTTAAAACTCCCTATAAAACATTTTTATGTATAGTTCGTCAGACGTGAAATAAATAATTATTTGTTTCCATTTTTTCTAACTTCCTTAATCTTCCAAGCAGTCCTTATCAATTGGCTATTTGTTTACAATTCAAATTCAAAATGCTCTTATCACTGTTATATTACGGCAGGCAGGGCGTGGCCTATGATTGGTTACTGGAAATGTCTTTCAGGATTTAATCCACACTCATTGGCCAATGCACCTAAATAAGTCCCGCCTGCTTGGTTTTGTGCTATCAGGTACCCCGCGGAAGTTGGTCGCTGTATTGACCTGGGTGATGATAATATGTGAGCTCAATTTGCATAACATTGTGTGAGGCGTTAATACTTTTTTATTGTTGCAGTCTGACAGTCTGACATTTTTTTCCGTAGACTCGGGAACGGTAAGTTGTTGGTTTTGATTCGAGGGTTTTAATATGACTTAAATACACGAAAAAGTCGAAGTTAGCCAGTTAGCTAGCTAGCACCGACAGTAGCCTCTAACGTTCGGGGTAGCATCAAATCTCAATAATATTTTTGTGTGTTTCTTTTAATTAACATTTTTACCTGCGTGTTAACTTATACTGTTTTTTTCATTTCATCGACCTGTATGTCTTTTTTCTTAATTTCGGAATTATAGAGCGTGCTGTATGTTAGAAGCGTAATTCATATGTCATTACGTTAGGAAATGTCGTTTTACCCTGCAAATACTATGTAATGTGCTTGATAGATCTTGAGAATTGGTGTTAATGACACGCAATGCTCGGTTTATGTACAAACGGTAACGTGGGATAGTTTTGGAGCAACAGTGTGCTCGGATTAACATGAACCTTCATGTTTATATTCTGCCTGTTTTACCTTGCTGCTCTGTAGGTACAGAATATTGCAGGGAAATGTTGGAGTGCGGCATGCTTGAACGGGATAAAAAGGCTCTTCGGAAAAACTCTGTTGCTCTGTGCAAAGAACTGGTTGTAGATGAGCTGTTCATCCAGTTACTGCAAGCTGATGGCATCCTTACAGAGAACATGGCAGAAAACATCCTGGTAAGTGTGCACCGATGGTATACCTCCATTGGCTTGTTAAAAAGCACAAAAAAGGGGCAACCAGCCTTGCAGTTTTTTTTTTTTTTTTTTTATCTCGTAGGTTAAAATATAATAAATATTAACTGTGTTTTGCTGGTCTGTTAGGCATAATTACAACAACAAAGTAGGAATTAACGCAACTTTTTCATTTAAACTATGCATGATATCAACATAGACATTCAATTACACTCTAATTTAAACTATTGGCCGAGTCTGGTTAGTGTGCTACAACTGTACTACATCAGATCTACTTGGTGTAAAATGTAGAACAAAATAGTGAAGTTCTTTTAAGGTTCAACATAAATGTATATCATGGTAGAAAACAGAACAATATCAATAGAAAATGTCCGATATAATTTCCAATAATTCCACTGAACTCTGATCTAGAACCATAGGATATTCTGGGAGATCTGTCAGTTCGCATTTCATGCAAACTTTTCATTTCAAACTAAAGAACTTCCATATCACACTTGTAAAAACGGTTTCCATACTTTTTTTTAACCTTTTCTTTAACAAGGGGTTATTATTGAGATAAGAAAAAAAAATTAAAGGGAGGCTTGACAAAATGAATCAGTTATTGTATTTTGTTTCGTATTTATAAGCACATTTCTTCATGGTTAACAGCAGCAATATAATTTTTGTTAAATCACTTGGAATGATATGTTGACCGAGCAGATGGATAGCGTTCCAAGGCAGGTACAGATTTCCCATGGTTTGTATATCAGAATATCGTGCTTCTGATGATCCCTTTCGGTTTGGTTAAGCCCAGCAATGAAGAGACCATATCTACAGACATATAACATAGTTTGTGGGGACATGACTTTTATCATACAACTACACTTATTTATATAATTAGACTCTTAGGCTTCACAAACAATAACTTCACCTGAATGAGTAATACATAGTCATAATAACTTCTTTTTAATATGTTATCCTAAAACAATCCAATACAATTGCTTTAAAGTAATTAAATTAAAATATGGACTGAAAAATTTTGAGTCATAAATTAGATGGAGTGTTTAGAAGGCAGCCATTTTTCAGTTCACTTTACAAGTTAATGATATATTCTGTTGGCTGGAAAATAATGATCAGTTTTAACATGATTAATCCATTATAGAAATAATAGTAATAACTGTTATTTGGAGTATACAGATTCCTAAACATGTCATCAGATGAAAGAAAAAACTATTCTGATCACTGATTAATCAGTGATTCTTTTTTCTATAAATATGCTCTATTCATAACTACTTAATTATAGTTTTAGCCTCATCTGGTTGAACGTATACAAAAAAAAATCTATGAAGAACATTTCAAGTTTATTTTCACAAATTATCTGTTTTTACTTTTGTCAGACCAATTTGTATATATATATACAAATTGTATATATATATATTGTATTATATTGTATGTATATTGTATATATATATATATATATATATATATATATATATATATATATATATATATATATATATATATATATATATATATATATATATATATATATATATAAACTTTACTGTCTGAGAGCAAGTCATATCAACTTTCTGTGACAAACTCTGAACGAGGGAGCAGCCAAAAGGACAAAGATCACAGCCTTTTTCTAATATCAGAGAGCTAAAGTAATTGAAACATTAACATTTCCTTCATATCTCTTTGATTCAAGGCAGGGGATACATCTCAGAAACGCAGCTGGCGTTTGTTACTCCTCCTACCAAAACGAGGACCCAAAGCCTTCCAGAGCTTCTGCTCGGCTCTCCAGGGCTCAGAGCAGCAGCATCTCTGTAACTTACTATTACAATCACAGGAGACGGAAGCCAAGGAGACACAAGTAGATGTAAGTTTGTGCCTTGTTATATATCAGCTGAAGAATTCAGCTTTGCTTACTCTTTATATTGTTTTATGCTTGCAGTGTTTTCAGCCTGAGAGAGCGCCTGAAGAAAACTCAGAACGACTTGCGCAAAATAGCAGAAAGGTTAGCAGAGAGCTTAAAATCCACAGATGACTACAGACTTTCAGCCTTTCCCATAAGGCAGAGGGTTTAGACAAACCTTTAACATTTTTTAAAATTATTTTATATTTATTAGCATTTCTACCGCAGCTTACAATTGATAGAAATGCTGAAGAATGGGAAGGTCTAGTGAAATGGTCTTCTGCAGAAATCCTTAGTAGATGTTGAGGAATGGAAAGAGGTGGGCAGCAACTCGTCCTTCTCAGCCAGTTCCTCGGATGAACATGGAACATCCTCAGAGTTTTCCGGAGAGATCAGCCCAGTCAGAGAGGGAAACAGGAAGAAAGACAAAGAAACAGAAAAGGCAAGAGGAAATTACAATCAGTCGGATGAAGAAATGATCACATCTTCAGTATCTGTTAATGCTGATGTAGAGAGAGTCCAGCTGTGTTTGTCAAACTGCTCACAAGAGAGTCCCTGAGGGTTTGTTTAAGATTAGAAACGCAACATTTAAGCCGTAGAAATATAATTATGTTCCTTTTTTATTTCAGAGAACTCCGAGGTCTTCTTTACCTTTTCCAATTCAGGAGGAATATGCTGCGAAGAGAGCAAGGACACATGGTGAGCAGTTACTGCAGTTTGTTGCATCTGTATTCAAAGTAAATTAGGTTACTCTGAGTCCAGTGTTGTTGTCAGTGTTTGTTTCCTGGGATACAGAAAGGTTGCATCTGAACAATAAAGGCTTTATCTGTTGTTTTAGTTGAACAAAGATATTAAATTACATCTTTAGCAGAAATACAGTTTGGAGCCACGTAATAAAATTACTCTTTTGTCGTTCTTAGGTTTCCTTTACCTCCTCAGTCATTGTGACATGTATCTAAGGTGTACAATTTAAGTTTCCCTCCCTTCTTGTTGCTCTTTGGCACCCCACCCAAATAGTGACTCATTCACAGCAATGTTGTACAGCACAGTGTTAGTTGTAAAAACACTTGTAGGCACATTCACTTCTTTGAGAGACAACACAATGAAGACTAGCCTTTTGTTTTTGATTGTCTACAGCAGAGTCCATGGAGTTCAGTCTCGATGCTGACAGTCCCATCAACACTCCTGTTCTTCCATGTTCTCCTGACTTCTATCTGTCTCACTGCCAGCAGGTATATTACCTCGCTTTGATAATCCTACACAGAAAATGAACTCTAGATTCAGCTAGCCTTTGTTTAGCGTCTCTAAATTAAGAAAATACTTATTTAGAGTTCAGGATTTCTATTAAAATTATCTGTTTTAGGAAGTTAGATCCAAATTTTCTTGTTACTTAATTTGCACCTTTATTGCTGGAATATAAATTTTAAAGATCTTGGGTTAATTAAATTAATTTTAAGTTGGCCATTCCTTAGTGCATTAAAATGAGGTGATATCTGTTCAATAACCAAGTTACATCCCAGAGCTGAAATTAACTAGAATTTTATCTGGATCTCTGAAGCTACTAAGGAAGATAGTTAAAAGCTTAAAGTACATTTTAAAAAATGCTAGCTTTAAAGGTCCCAGGCTGATTTATGAAGTGGCATTAGTGGATAGGTGGACAGCCACCTTGAACAGGAGGACAGCTTACATTTTTTCAGTGTCTCTTTGGAGGCAGAAATGCATCTGAGCTGCAGCCACACTGCTGTAAATGCTATTAAAAGTTGAAGATGAACTTAAAAAAATTAATAAGAGTGATTTATTTGTATTTTTTCTAAAAAGCATTTGAGAAGTTATCAGTAAACCATTCTATTATAGAAAATTTGATAGGGCTTAGAAATATAATTCATTTGGTAAAACTAGAGCATTTGCCCAAAGCCTTTTTATAATCCATGCATCTTATGTTCATTTTACAGTAAAGTTTTTCTAAAGAATTTAGAGTACATAAAGGTTCTTCAATAGCCAAATTTAACGTGATTGTATTTTTTAATATTAGAAATGTTATAAAAAAAAGATTTAAGATTTCTGAATAGCTTGTAAACATTTTAAAATCCATTTTCTTCCGTCATATATATATATATATACAGGTGCTGGTCATAAAATTAGAATATCATGAAAAAGTAGATTGATTTCAGTAATTCCATTTAAAAAGTGAAACTTGTATATTATATTCATACATTACATACAAACTCATATATTTCAGATGTTTATTTTGTTTAATTTTGATGATTACAAATGACAACAAATGAAAATCTCAAATTCATCATATCAGAAAATTAGAATATTACTGAAGACCAATAAAAACAAAGGATTTATAGAAATGTTGGCCAACTGAAAAGTATGAACATGAAAAGTATGAGCATGTACAGCACTCAGTATTTAGTTGGGCCTCCTTTGGCCTGTATTACTGCAGCAATGCGGCGTGGCATGGAGTCGATCAGTCTGTGGCACTGCTCAGGTGTTATGATAGCCCAGGTTGCTCTAATAGTGGCTTTTAGCTCTTCTGAATTGTTGGGTCTGGTGTATTGCATCTTCTTCTTCACAATACCCCATAGATTTTCTATGGGGTTAAGGTCAGGAGAGTTTGCTGGCCAATTAAGAACAGGGATACCATGGTCCTTCAACCAGGTACTGGTAGCTTTGGCACTGTGTGCAGGTGCCAAGTCCTGTTGGAAAATGAAATCTGCATCTCCAAAAAGTTGGTCAGCTGCAGGAAGCATGAAGTGCTCTAAAACTTCCTGGTATGTGGCTGCGTTGACCCTGGACCTCAGAAAACACAATGGACCAACACCAGCAGATGACATGGCACCCCAAACCATCACTGACTGTGGAAACTTTACACTGGACTTCAAGCAACGTGGATGAAGTGCCTCTCTTCTTTTCCTCCAGACTCTGGGACCTTGATTTCCAAAGGAAATGCAAAATTTACTTTCATCAGAGAACATGACTTTGGACCACTCACCAGCAGTCCAGTCCTGTTTCTCTTTAGACGCTTCTGACGCTGTCTGTGGTTCAAGAGTGGCTTGACACAAGGAATGCGACAGCAGAAACCCATGTCTTTCATACGTCTGTGTGTGGTGGTTCTTGAAGCACTCACTCCAGCTGCAGTCCACTCTTTGTGAATCTCCCCCACATTTTTGAAGGGGTTTTGTTTCACAATCCTCTCCAGGGTGCGGTTATCTCTCTTGCTTGTACACTTTTTTCGACCACATCTTTTCCTTCCCTTCGCCTCTCTATTAATGTGCTTGGACACTGAGCTCTGTGAACAGCCAGCCTCTTTAGCGATGACCTTTTGTGTCTTGCCCTCCTTGTGCAAGGTGTCGATGGTCGTCTTTTGGACAACTGTCAAGTCAGCAGTCTTCCCCATGATTGTGTAGCCTATAGAACTAGACTGAAAGACCATTTAAAGGCTTTTGCAGGTGGTTTGAGTTAATTAGCTGATTAGAGTGTGGCACCAGGGGCCATCAATTTTGAACCTTTTCACAATATTCTAATTTTCTGATATGATGAATTTGAGATTTTCATTTGTTGTCATTTGTAATCATCAAAATTAAACAAAATAAACATCTGAAATATATGAGTTTGTATGTAATGTATGAATATAATATACAAGTTTCACTTTTTAAATGGAATTACTGAAATCAATCTACTTTTTCATGATATTCTAATTTTATGACCAGCACCTGTGTATATATATATATATATATATATATATATATATATATACATATATATATATATATATATATATATATATATATATATATATATATATATATATATAATATATATATATAATTATTTCCCCTGTTTTAGTCTTACAGAATGAAGTCCTCGCCCCGAGGCTATGCCTTGGTCATCAGTAATGTGAGCTTTGACTCCTGCTCTGCTCCAGACCTTGACCCAAGGAAAGGAGGTGAAGTGGATGATGAGGTTCTCAGGAAGGTTTTCACAGAGCTGGACTACCATGTCAGTGTCCACAGAGACCTTACTGCTCAGGTGAGACAATGGATTACTCTCCAGGTTTAGCAGATGAGAATGAATCTTTACAGATGGGAAATCTAGAAACTTAAAAGATAGCATTTTAGTCATAAGTGTGAAAAGCTTTGTGTCTTGAGATAGTTTCCTCAAATACGTCGCCCTTGGAGCAGCATCTAGCTGATTCGGATTAAACTATTTTTAAAGAAAAATGTTGAAATTAATTGCTTTAGCTTGAGCGTTTCATCTAATTGTCTCCTTAATCTGAGCAGGACATGAGGACATGCATTGAGACCTTTTGCAGGCGGCCTGAACACCGGACAGTGGACAGCTGTGTTGTGTGTCTGCTCTCCCACGGAGTGGAGGGAGCAATTTACGGCACAGATGGACAACTTATTCAGGTGAATTTGTTTAATGATTAACAAAATGTATTTTAGCATAAAAAAATGGTGGTTTGTTTTTTAGCATTGAACATGAATCCTCTGGTTCTTTTCTAGCTGGACTGGGTGTTTGAGGCCTTTGACAACGCACATTGTCCACTGCTTCAAAACAAGCCAAAGATGTTCTTCATTCAAGCCTGCAGAGGAGGTAAGTAGGGATGATACTGGGAGTGTGTTGAAAGTTTCACATTTCGAAGACATTTGATGAAAAGAGTGTGTCTCCTTCCTCTTACTGCTATTTTATCAGCCATCTAGCTGCCACACAGCTTAAATGTAGATGGTGTCGAAATGTACCACAAAACTATGCTGTGCAAGTATAAACAGGTTCAGTGTCTAATGACAGGTTTTCACTGCAACATAGAGTTGATGTAAAACTGAGGGCCCTGTCACACCTTGCCGATTTAGCCAGCGTATGCCTGATGTCCCAGAATCTCCCTAAACGCTAGCATACACTGAAATTTCTATGTATTTTTTCAGGCCTCAGGCACATCACTGCTCCTTAGGGGAACAGCGATGTCCCCGGAGGCGCCCGGTCTGCATAAAAAGATTTCTTTGATCATGGTAGTAAAAAGAATAAATAAAAAGAAAGAAAGAAGGTTTGCAGTCACAGCAGATTCAGCATCATGTCTTCTAGGAAGATTGTTGGTCATGGCTGTGGAAGGCAGGGATGATCCATTACATTTACCGTCACGCTTACCCTGTGATGGAGAAGAAGCCTGGAGGAGAACATACAGTTTCCTCCACGTATGGCATATGCTGGCATACGTTGATGTACTTGCTGTACGTCGATGTTTGTCAGCGTGCATTAGTGCGCTCATAACTTATACAAAACATACCCATAACTCATCCAACATATACCAGGGTTTTTGCCAGATTTTTCATACGTCAGACATACGTTGGTCTAAATAGTGAAGATGTGACAGGGGCTTAAGTGTCACAATTTTGTTTTTTGATCAGAAAAGTATTTGATATTCTTTTTACATTTTTTTCTAGTAAAAGGACGCGTCAAGTTGAATATCCTCCGACTGGCTACTTATTTTATTTGAAGATATTTGAAGCCGTACGGTAATTTAAATAGAGTACTGGCTAGGGTATAAATGACTAAATAAATACAAAAATAAACGAATGCTCAGGGAATAAAAGAAACAACACAAATGCTGCAAAAATATAGCAAATAGATAAATATAGGCATTAAGTAAATTAACATAAAATTATATATAAAGGTATTACCTTTGGATTTGCTTATTTATTTATTCACCTTTGCAAAAATAACCTTCATTTTATCATTGTTTCATCATTGGATCATTTTAAACTTTATTTTTCAATATAAATTATTTTTCTAAATATATACTACATAGGCCCTATGTCATGCAAAATTAACTTTTATGAGCTTTTACCTCTACCGCACAGCTATTGCTTCACTGTAATTATGATATAAGTGGCTGGAGGATAATGGCCCAAAAAATGAAATGTCAGATTGTTTTTTTTTTTTTTTTTTATAATTTAAATAACAATTTTTTAAAAAAATTTTTGCCCCTAATTATTAAGTAAAGCAATAAGTACAAACCAGGCACCATGTCTTTGACTATGCGCAAAGTGATCCTGTTCCTTTCCTATCATATGTGGTACTTTGTGTAACAGATTTGGCTCCAGTTAGCTGTTTCTTAGCTGAGGTTTCATATTTATTGCGGGTTTGTTTGTCAAGGAGAAACTGGCATTTTCACCACAGCGTTGCGCTATTGGAGGCCCAGCTTCTGTTAACAACTGGCTTGTTAGCTATATGGACCGGGAACCTTTTCCTAACATTTTAAAGAATGCCTTTCAATACACAACCGCATTTCTTCTAATACAACCGCATCTAAATAAACCATCCCCCCTCCCTCGCTGGGAACCTTGCATATTGCTAATTTCTATAAGCTGCAATTTACTGCCATTTCTGATATCTTGACAGCAGCTCGTTCTTGTAACTGACCCCCGCTCCCGTCCTCCATCCTCCTATTAAACCTGTGTTCAGGTATTAATGCGTTCTGATAAGCGCCAAAAGACACGTCATCATAGCAGAGTTATCGCTGGTGTTGCTATGATACTCAAGTTAACAAGTTTATTTTACCCTCCTGAAAAAAAAAATTAAATCCCCAACCGCAGTGTCTGCATGCCGGAAAATCCACCACCACGCTGGAGAACCTTGAGCCCTGTTAAAACCAGTTCAAAACAACAGATGATTTTATTCCTTTTTTGAGAAACTTCTCCCTCACTTGTATTTATGATGTGGTTTGCTCTTTCCTGTGATGCTGTCGCTTGCCATACTGCAACCTGAGATTGATACTACAGCCACAGAAAGTCAGTCGCCATTATTTAAAATAAATAAATTAATTAATTCATAACAAAAAATTTGAATAAAATTGAATACATTTTTTGCCCAGGCCTATGTGTTTTTTGTTTTTGTTGACCCATACATCATGTCCGAGTTCCCTTTATTCGCTGCTCTAGAAGAGCGGGACTGTAATCGGTCGGTGCTAATAGATGCTTTGGATTTGTGGCCTGGATGAACCCAATAAAAACTACAAAGTACTCAACCTTTAACCCACCAGCGATAGGCTTAAAGGGGGCGGCTTGTGATTTCTGGGCCTTACTAGGAACAGATTCTTCAATACCAGCTTCATTTAATGATAGTGAGATTGGGGTGATGGTTGTGGGATATATTTATTGTTTTAGACGAGCAGGGAGCTTCATGGGACAATCAGAGCATTTAGTATCTTCATCAAACATCTGGACATTACCAGAGAGCTGTTAACTTGTTCAGGGCGTAGTGTATTGATCATTTGATTAACCTAATTTTGTGAAAAAGTTCTCATCTATGATACCAATGGAGTTCAATAAGTGTCTTCCTCTTTTGTAACCCACTATGAAAGATTTAGTGACAGCACACATTTTACTTTAAAAAAACATCCTAATTTCCATGTCTCGTTATTTAGAAATGAGACAAGAGACTTTATTAATTCCTCTTACTGAATGTGTACTCCTGATGCACGGGCTGGAATTCTAAACATCTGTGTTTATGTTTAGGCAAACTGTCAGTGTCACATAAATAGAGAAGGTCAGGAAAGTTTCTAGATGCCTCAGCTCAGCTTAAATATGACCTCATGGTAGGTAGCCATCTTTGTTATGACTGTGGCTGGTCTATGCAGTCTAACCAACCAAAAGGAGAAAGTTTTTACCTTTTAGAACACACCCTCCTCATTTGCAGAATGAGGCAGAAATGCATACAGACATCAGAAAGAAGGAGACGATTAATACAAAATATGGAAGAAATGATTGGGGTTACAATGATAATAAGGAAAAATACAGACAATTACTGAAGTGTGAAAGCAGAAAATAATATTACAAAGTGATAAATAAATAAGCTAATTAAAAGAAAAGTGTGTTTCATTGCAAAGGTTATCAGATTACTTTATTTTTTGTCCATTTAATTGTTTTCCATTTTATTAAGCATTATTTCTATTTTTTTCTATTTATGTATTTATTTTTAATATTTAAGAGTTGGTCCTCTATGATATCCTGAAAATAATACAGAAAATTTGAAACATATGTGACATAATGTAATAATCATCTAGACCAGTCAGTTTATTCTGTTTCTTCTGGATATAATCCAGTCGTTTTTAGCTCAGACATCTGCAATAAAAACCCATAGATGGATTGAGAAGCTACTTAGCTCTAGCTTACCTGTATCTGCTGCTCTATAGGGCTCTGCTGTGTGAGATCAGCTGTAGGTTTGCTGGCTAGAGAAGCAGCAGGAAATACTCCCTTTGAATCAAGGGCTCAGTAGTGATCACAGAGCAAAGTCCATAGCTCTTCAAAGTACTGTCAACACCCTGATATCAAGATGTTTTAGTCAGGTGCCTAAACGCTTTGAAGGAAATTATGTTTTGACAGATTTGTTTTCTTTCCTGAGATGGAACCAAAATGGAGAGCGCCTTCCTCACTGCTGGGATGACCGTGGTGCACAGAACTTAAAGGCTCAGTATGATCATGGATCATCTGAAGCATGAATAATGGAGATTTTCACCTCACTAGAGAGGTGGTTTCTAGTGATAGGCATTACACCACGTTACAACATCCCTGCTCCATCTTTTTATGCAATATGGTTATTCAATATGGAATTGTGGGAGACAAGTAAAATAATAGAAATATCCTCTTACCTAAAGTGCCTCAGCTTTCTAACCCACCAGATATTAACGCTAACATTTTTTATGTGAACCACTAATTTGGAGCCGGTTTTCTTATAGATGAGATGGACTGTGGAGTTGAGCAGTTGGATGGGCCAGTGAGGACCTCTTCACCGAGCTGTGAGCAGCACGATGCTGGGAGGGAAGGAGAACGGGATGCTGACATGGCAAGACGGAACATGGGGAGGCCCAGGATTAAACTGCCTCAGCGATCAGATATGATCTGTGGCTTCGCTTCTCTCAAAGGTCAGAGAATTTGTAAGTTTACCCTGTTTCCTAAACTGCATTTTATTCCTTCTATTATGATTATTTAGTGAGAAAAATTAAATAAAAGGAGATCATTAATGGCTGCAGAACTCTGTTCTGTAGTTTGGGAATAACAGAATGTTGTGACAAAATCATATCTGCTGTTTATGAAAGTTTTTCCTGCTAAATGACTCTTATGTAAGTACTGGAGATTTGACCCCAAGTGTCCATTAGAGAAGGCCTGGAGCTGAACTGCTACACCACTAACAGAATTGTGATATAGATCTATATTTAATCATTTGCGGAAAAAAAAAAATATTATTATTTTTTTTTTTCTTGTGTATTTTATTTTATTTTTTTTTACCTATTAGACAATGTATGGGGCATATTACAAGAGCAACATTGGTATTCAATCAGTTTATCTTTATGACATCCTCAGTAACCCATGATGATTCATGATCAGTTTGTTCTTACCTCTAATAGGAACCTTAAGCCCCATTTACACTACCCTCTGAAACCGATCCGTGCCGAGTTCGGACCGAGTTCGGATCAGTTAACTGTGCCGAGCTCGGTTCCTTACGACCATTTATACATCATGCTAGCATGGTTGCTCACCTCCTAGTGATGATCTGCGTTACTACTGCTCTCTAGGATTGAGTGATAGAGCAAATCAAGCGACATCCTTAACATTCAGGAAGTAATGTTTGGTTGTAATTGTGATATTTCGTTGTTTGCAGAGAGTCAGAAGAAGAAGGCAGCCTTTGGTGAATTTACTTGACAGAGTCGGCTTTTGGGAATTGGATACGACAAACAATAGTCTAATCAGGGCTTACAGACGCAGGAAACAATGACAGACGTTGAGGTTCATCACACTGCTAAGCAGAGAATCGTGTGGCACAGTAGGGAAGCTAGTATTTTTATGAATGTCATGATTATGGAGGCTGACTGTAAGGAGATGACGCGGTCTGCTCATGTGCTTTTTGTTATCTGAGAACCGTGCCAGAAATGAACCCCGCTGAGCCCTACTGATGAACTAGTACCAGTTTAGGGTGGTTCTGTTGTGTCTGACACGGTCCGGTTCAGTTTGTGTGCCATTTACAGTCAACAGTTATCTCCATTATCGTGCTCGGACCGATCTCGGCGCAGTTTCCAAAGGGTAGTGTAACCCCAGGCTCACACCGACTCCGGTCTTACCGTTGCGGTGCGGTGGGTGCGGCGCCGCAGTGATTCCAAGTCATTAAAAAGACGTAAACCTCTCTCACCGGCTGCTGAGCTGTCCGGCTGCGGTTACCGAGACACTCCGGCGTTGCAGAAAATTCCGCAAGAAAGCTATCCTTGCGGCGTGCCGGAGCCCTCCGCAACAAGCTCTCGCAAAAATCCTTTATTTGGGCCGTGTTATCGCGTGAAGTTACGTGAACTCAAGTGAACTTCTGTTAAATCTCCGGACCTGTTGCCGGAGCCGCAGAGCCGCACCGCACCGTAGTCAAAAGGGCGGTGTGAGAGGGGGTGTGCGGGAGTTGCGGTCTCCGTCGGCTCGGTAACTGCACCGGAGCCAGTGTGAGCAAGGGGTAAAGAAAAACTCTTACAGCAGACAGTTGTAATGTTTTTCACTATAGAATCAGTCATGGGTGGTTCTAGACAGGGGCCAACGGGGGCCAGTGCCCCTGTAGATCATGTCCTAGCCCCTGTTATGGCCCCTGTACTGAAGACATAATACTCAAAGAAATTCTAATGATGATCTGCGCTGGAACAGACATGGTTACTGATAGGTCTATAAATTCTATTTTACAATTTTTTTTTTTTTTTATAAGGTGATAGCTTCAGTGGTACTGAGATAGGATCCCAATTTTCTGCTAAATGTTTTTTTTTAAACAAATAAAAAAAAATACTCTAATTTTTACAGCTGAATTTATCAGTTTTTCTTGAGCTCTAATTCAGATTTTATTGAAAACGTAATTTTTAACTTAGATGAAGTCAAAAATATTTACAATTCCTAAATTATGAATATATATTGACCTAATAAGACATATCATTTTACTTAAAACTAAATTAATAGAAATTTCACTTCATGCAGCTCTCTTAATATATTTGAATCCCTTGCCCTGTTTTTTATTTCATGCTTTTATGTGGCCTCCATGAAAACACGCTGGCCTCCTCCTGGTCTGGTATTTTTGGTCTAGAACCGCCCCTGGAATCAGTTCTATATAGTTATATAAAGGCCATCATCAAAACATAACTTTGCTGCAACAGCAGTCTTCACTGTTACTTTTACAGAAAAGCATTATGGGTCCTCCTCTTGTGCTGTGATTGGTCCGGTCTGTTTAAGCCAGGAGAGTAATGAGCCTTACTGGACCGATTTACTGACTGTAAGTCAGTCTGGCTGGCCGGGCCAGTTGGGTTAGAAAGAAAGTCCTGAAAGGGTTAAAAAAAAAAAAAAAAAAAGTTATGTTCTCTTGAAGGTGCATCAAATCCCAGCCCCACTTGGTGTTTAACAATCTTTGAATTTTGTGGTTGTGAATGTGAGAACCTATAAAAAAAACAATGCCATGTGAATTTTATGCACATTGGAAAACCGTTGAAAAATCTGTTAAAATGCTTTGATAAATATATAAGTAGCTGCTGCTTCTCCTGATTTTAGTGAACATCTCTAGTTCACAGTTAGCTTTTTTTTCCTTGTTGTTATTATTTGTGTATTAAGTCTCTGTTGTTGTATTTTTTTCCTATTTAAGGCACAGCAGCAATGCGAAACACCAAACGAGGGTCCTGGTTTATCCAGGAACTTAACGCAGCACTCCGGCTGCACGCCAAAGACACACATCTCTCAGACATACTGGTGCAGGTGAAAAACGATTCCTTCTTTATCCCCTCATATTTTAGCGTCCTCATTTATCGTCTGCTTTATTTTCTCTGTCTAGGTTAATGCACGCATCAAGGAGAGGGAAGGGTATGCCCCAGGCACCGCCCACCATCGCTGCAAAGAGATGTCCGAGTTCACCAGCTCACTCTGCAAAGACCTCTACCTTTTCCCCAAGTACCAGCCCCAGTATTGATATTCAGAAGCGCACTTTAAGTGAACAAAAACACAATTCAGTGTTTATATGAAGCCTCTCTGTAAAAACTAAAAGAACTGCCTGTTATTGCCTCACACTCTCACATTCCCTTTTGTTACAACCTAACATTTGTTTCCGTTTACACCACACACACATGTGCAAAGGCACACGTTTTGGACAGGAAAAAGAGAATCCTTTGTTATTCCAGGTACATACACTCTGATGGGAAACTAAAATGTGTGTGTGTTTATGCCAGTTAAATGGGTTGTTTTTTTGTTAATCCTTTTTAGTCAAGCTGCACAGCGACTCCAATGTTCCTAAAATTTCTTTTTAAAATAACTATTTTTTACACAGATCTATTTTTGTGCTTTTTGTTTTTGTATAAAATGGTTTTTATATAAAATTCCCAACCCACACTTTTCATGTGTAAATGTTTGTTAAAAGTTGTGAATAGAACTTGCTTTTAATTTAGCGACAGGCAGAGGGCAGCACCACAGAGACAAATCATTTAATCATGGCTTCTAGATCAGTAATATGCACTTAATAATGCTCTATGGTTCTGCAGACAGACAAACAAAAACAAAGTTTTAAAGGTTTCATCTTAAAGTTATGAAATATATTCACAGGGCATCTTCATTAGGAAGTCTCATTCATTTATTCCTCTACTTGGGGTATAAATCCTCAGTTGGAAAATATGCAGCTTTTTAAATGTTAATTTGATGTTTAATCACTTGTGATCCTTAAAGTTCTCCTGCCTATGACAGGGCGATGGGCTGGAATTTGGTGCTACTCTTTGGTTTATTCATCCACAGTATAACCACTGACCTTTATTTCTGCAGTGCCTTGCCAAAAATATTTATACCCTTATACCAACACATATCAATGATTTTATGAGACTTACGAAATAGAACTGTGAAGTGGAAAGAAAAGAAATAAATTTTTTTTATATATACAAACAGATCTCTGGGAACATCTAAGAACATAATTTTCAAATCTTGTCATAGATAATTAAATATAACTGGCTCTGAACTTTAACTAGCCCATTCTATCAACAAGCTTATATAATTCTATATGCCATATGTTTGGGCTCATCGTCGTGCTTGAAGGACCACTGTTTCTTAAAGGACTTACTCCCTATAATCTATTAAGCACTTCCTGTACCTTCTAAACAATTATTCCCTCAGCATGATGCTACCACTGACATGTTTCACCATAGGGATATCGACCGTGGCAATTTTCTTTATTGTTTTTATGTTTTTTTTTTACTTTTATAACTCTGCTTCAAGCATGTACACAAAAGTATCGATGAACATTTTTTTCTTCCACTTCCAAAGCTTGCAAAAAAATCCTTAGTTTATAGATAGAAGGTTTGAACTGGGTATTTTTACTTTTGCAAAGCACTGTAGATTTTGTCTGTGCATGTTTGTTGTATGTTTGATGAATATTACTGCAGCAGTCAGGATAAACTGTGTCTTCCATAAACATGAAGCCATTTTCTAACAGCAGGTTGTGCCATGTGAGCCTTTTCTGCTGGATAAACTCATGACCATGATGCAGCTTTTATATTGTATTATATCTCCACACAGAGGAATATGTTTGAATGTTTTATGAGAATTAAAAGCCTCCAGAGAGGCCTCAGTGAGGTAAAGTATGTTCAGTTACAGCAGTGTTGTTTTTGAAAAAGGAAGTAGCTAAAACAGTGTTGCTTTGTTACCATCTGGACATGAGGATGCTCCTAGAGACCACTCTATCGTGGAGCAGACACATTACTGTTTTTTGTATTTATGAGATAATATAAAGCAAAAAATATGTGTCTAGTATGGAAGTGGAGCATAAAGTTTTGAAGGTTAGAGTGCATTGCCAAGTTCTTCTGTATCACGCTGTATTAAACGGGTTGAGGAGATTTTTTATAACACCATCAATAACTGCCAAACGTTCCATGCAATAAAAAAAATGATCTTAAAAGAATTTTATGTGTTTTTCTCTGTAAAAAATCTAAGTTTGCAGGAAAATGTGAGTCAGAAATGGAGTTTTTTGCCCTGTGAATGCAAGTCGTCCGAGTAAGTGTGCTACTCGGCTTCTCCTCTGCGTGCTCCACTGTATCTGATCCTCCTTGTTGCTGTGTTTGTGTGTGTTGTTGCCTGTGTACAGCCTGTCCTCTCCTTTTTCTCGTATAGTATAACTGGCTGCACACTATTTCGCTGCGCTCAGGTCTCTCCATGCTGCAAACTGGGATGTATGAATCTCTCGCTCTGCCCACCGACACCCGCTGATAATGTTCTTGGTGTATCAGATACAGGCCCAGCCAGCTGTCCTCAGTCATTCTCCCCCTGACAAACACACACATAGTCAGAGTAACACATTTCCTGCTGGCCTCTGATGGAGCTGTGAGATTAAGATGTTATGTGCCTGCGTGTGGACCACAAAGCAGGGCAGAGTTAGGAGGGATCTGTGTTTGTCTGTGGTTGTTATAATGGCCGCCTGTCTCATTAGCCTGAGAGAAGAAACTCTCCAACAAAGACAAACTACAGAAATATTGAATGTTCTCCTTTTTATTTTTTTGCATTTTAAAATCTATGCTTTTCCACACTCTTTAATTTCCTTTTATAAATAAACAAACTTCTGATGAATAATTCAGGGAGAAAACAACTGATTTCAAAGGATGAAGCAATATTTAGACACTTTTGTTCGGGGTTGTGGCAAACTTAATTTTCAGCCGGTTGCTAATTCAGATTTAAGGTTCATTAGTTGAATCCATGAAAATACAATAGGTGACAGTTTTAAATAGATATACAGCTAAAAGACCTGCAATACAATTCATGAGCAACTACAGAAAACTACATCAGTAAGGTTTTTGCTTATTTTCATGGCTTTTATTTGTGACATTAGGCCCTTAGCTCTATTTCATTATGTCTCCCATGAGTATAAAAAGGTGCAGGAAGAAACAGCATTTATTTGTATTTGTTCTTTGGAGATTCTCTGGCAGGTGGAGGAATTTGTACCAACCATCCCAAATATGTAACAATGAAATATTTAAGGTATTTGTTAGCAATTTTCTAGAATAGAAATATATATACAGGTGCTGGTCATAAAATTAGAATATCATGAAAAAGTAGATTGATTTCAGTAATTCCATTTAAAAAGTGAAACTTGTATATTATATTCACACATTACATACAAACTCATATATTTCAGATGTTTATTTTGTTTAATTTTGATGATTACAAATGACAACAAATGAAAATCTCAAATTCATCATATCAGAAAATTAGAATATTGTGAAAAGGTTCAAAATTGATGGCCCCTGGTGCCACACTCTAATCAGCTAATTAACTCAAACCACCTTCAAAAGCCTTTAAATGGTCTTTCAGTCTAGTTCTATAGGCTACACAATCATGGGGAAGACTGCTGACTTGACAGTTGTCCAAAAGACGACCATCGACACCTTGCACAAGGAGGGCAAGACACAAAAGGTCATCGCTAAAGAGGCTGGCTGTTCACAGAGCTCAGTGTCCAAGCACATTAATAGAGAGGCGAAGGGAAGGAAAAGATGTGGTCGAAAAAAGTGTACAAGCAAGAGAGATAACCGCACCCTGGAGAGGATTGTGAAACAAAACCCATTCAAAAATGTGGGGGAGATTCACAAAGAGTGGACTGCAGCTGGAGTGAGTGCTTCAAGAACCACCACACACAGACGTATGAAAGACATGGGTTTCTGCTGTCGCATTCCTTGTGTCAAGCCACTCTTGAACCACAGACAGCGTCAGAAGCGTCTTGCCTGGGCTAAAGAGAAACAGGACTGGACTGCTGGTGAGTGGTCCAAAGTCATGTTCTCTGATGAAAGTAAATTTTGCATTTCCTTTGGAAATCAAGGTCCCAGAGTCTGGAGGAAAAGAAGAGAGGCACTTCATCCACGTTGCTTGAAGTCCAGTGTAAAGTTTCCACAGTCAGTGATGGTTTGGGGTGCCATGTCATCTGCTGGTGTTGGTCCATTGTGTTTTCTGAGGTCCAGGGTCAACGCAGCCACATACCAGGAAGTTTTAGAGCACTTAATGCTTCCTGCAGCTGACCAACTTTTTGGAGATGCAGATTTCATTTTCCAACAGGACTTGGCACCTGCACACAGTGCCAAAGCTACCAGTACCTGGTTGAAGGACCATGGTATCCCTGTTCTTAATTGGCCAGCAAACTCTCCTGACCTTAACCCCATAGAAAATCTATGGGGTATTGTGAAGAAGAAGATGCAATACACCAGACCCAACAATTCAGAAGAGCTAAAAGCCACTATTAGAGCAACCTGGGCTATCATAACACCTGAGCAGTGCCACAGACTGATCGACTCCATGCCACGCCGCATTGCTGCAGTAATACAGGCCAAAGGAGGCCCAACTAAATACTGAGTGCTGTACATGCTCATACTTTTCATGTTCATACTTTTCAGTTGGCCAACATTTCTATAAATCCTTTGTTTTTATTGGTCTTCAGTAATATTCTAATTTTCTGATATGATGAATTTGAGATTTTCATTTGTTGTCATTTGTAATCATCAAAATTAAACAAAATAAACATCTGAAATATATGAGTTTGTATGTAATGTATGAATATAATATACAAGTTTCACTTTTTAAATGGAATTACTGAAATCAATCTACTTTTTCATGATATTCTAATTTTATGACCAGCACCTGTATATACACACATTAGTGTTGCACCAATACCAGTATCGGGCAGGGCCCCGTTACTGCACTAAAATGGTAATATCGGTATTGGCAAGTACCAACAAATAGGGTACCGATACCATTTTGAGAGCCAGAAGTTTATTCAACTATTGTCACCCATTCCAGGTAGGCAATAAAAAGTTCTACTGGATTTACTTTGTATTAGTCTTTTTTCCTGCTTCACAAAGGTAGGCAGCAGCTTGACAAAGCCATGGTGGCAATTATTTTACATCCAAATAGTATGCAGTTCTTGATATATATACACACACACGTTGATTTCAAACAGATGGTATCGGTATCAGCAAATACTGCAAAGCCAGGTATCGGGGCCAAAAAATGGCATCGGTGCAACACTAATATACATATTTGATAATTACTTTATTAAACATACCGAGATGACTTTTAAAAGCATTTTCCTGTTGCTCTGAATCAGGATTTTTAAGTAAAATTCTTATCT